AATTTCACATGTTTTTGGTGTGGGCCGGAGTGGTTAGCCCCTACTATTCCTTAAATCTTTGTTCGTCACTCAAGCAAAGCAGTAAGTTAGACGAAATAGGTCACCTTAGAAAATCTTCTAGACCTCGACTCTCCTTAACACTTAACGTGTCGTCCAATAGCGGATATGGCGGACATGGCCTTCTCCGCGATCGGGAACCATGTTCTTAAGGAAAGAACGCTGCTCTAAACGAGTTGTACTACAAGGAACACCATGTGGAGTGCACTTTTGCAGCTGCACCGCACCATGGCTGGGGGCAGCACGATGCGCAGGTACAGGAGGCTGACGCACAACCGGCCCACCGCCGAGACCCACGTCCTGGTGGCGAAGAGCGGCCCTAGGGTGAGCCAATTCCGCAGCCACGCAGCCGAGAGACCCAGCGCGGTGACGCCGAGAAGGACCCACCACGAGCTGCGGCACAGGGGGTGGCGTCGGCAGTACGCCTTCGGCACCAACATCGAGGTCAGGATTAAAGTTTTCTGAAATGTGTATACTGAGTACTTAGCATGTCTAGAAGTTTTCTTGAGTACACTGCAAGAAAAAACCACAACAAAAGTACACCCATTCCTGGCAAACTTTTTATCAGGAATTTATTGTACTTTTAGAGTACAACAATTCTTGCTCCAAGTACTGTAGAATGGAATCGCCATGATGAGTGCTGTGCAGTCCAGGCCCCGTCGTGGTTTTTACAATCCTCGTTGTACTCTCTACAATCCCTGTTGTACTTTTTTTGTATAGTTTTTGTTGTACTATTCACACTTTTATTGCGGTGTAACTGTACTCCTGTAGATGCGTACTTGTTTTAGCAGGGGCCGCAACGGCCTAGGGAAGCGCGTGAAGCCATGCGCGAGTGAGGTGCAGGGGTCACTTATTTTGCTTCGATTGTAAGAACTAGCCCGTTGATTGCGAAACGCTTTGCACAGATCAAAAGAGCACAAAATTTAGGGTGCATTAGGCCTAGTAGACTGCCCGATACTTCCAATTCAACCGAACACAAGGGCGGAATCATTTACGTCAACATGGCGCATTCAAGTTTTTTCCTCAATTTTATGATTTTTGTATTTTTTGGTGTTTTTACTGCACCTTAATATTAGGTAAAGGGGGAGTTTCGAGAAGAGCAATTAGCCTAATGCACCCTAAATTTCAAGCCCTTTCCATCGGTGCAAAGCGTTTTGAAAAACCAGTCTGTTTTCATAATCTCGAACAAGTGCGCAACCTCTGCACTGACGGCGCGAGCATCGCTTCACCCTCTCCCTAGGCCGTTGCCACCCCCTGGTTTATGACACTCCTTGGGGGCTCACTCTCATATCATCTAAGATGATTACTAGTCTTGACACTGCTACACATCTGTACATGGCACGGACACTCCAATAGGTGTGTTCTCTGGTCAAACTAAAGCGTAGTATTGTTTCCAAGCAACAGGCTCATCCAACAAAATTTCCCCTTTCTAAATGCATGGGGGAATTTCCAGAGTATGCTCCATTTCAAGCGTAATGTCTTCAACCGTAACTTAATGCTCGACTCGAGCTTAAAGTTACGCTTTAGTTTTACCAGTGTACTTGTTACAACACTTCTATGTGGACTAAGATAATAGTGTATCTTGCAGTGCAGGGCTGCCACACTGCAAGAAAAAGTGTGAATAGTTCAACAAATGCACAACAAAAACTGTACAATAAAAGTATAACAGGGATTGTAGAAAGTACAACGAGAATTGTACAAACCACAACGAGGCCTGGACTGCCCAGCACTCGTCATGCCGGTTCCATTGTACTTTGTACAACAATAGTTGTACTTTGAAAGTACAATAAAAACCTTGTGTACTTTTGTTGTGGTGTTTTTCTTGCAGTGCACATCGCTCGCCCTGGTGCCTGCACCTCGGCTGCCCCGATGAAGGTGCAGAAGTGGCTGCGGCGTCGCACGGTGGTGACGCCGTCGATGGCGCCCGCCACCACCCAGGCCACGAGGGCGAAGACGAGGCGCGCCTCGCGGAAGGGCGCCAAGTAGAGCCACGCCGAGGTGGCCACGTACAGGAAGGCCACCGAGGCCACGGCCGGGGCCAGGCGGAGCGGCCTCGGCCGCGGCGTCCACACGGACACGGGGAACACCCCCAGCAGCAGCGCCGGCACGCCCAGGACGCGCCACAAGGCGAGCGTCACTCGCACCAGCATGGCCCGCGACGAGCACTGTGGCAAGAAGCTTCTGAAAACTCTGTAAGCAGCTTGTGGCAGTCCTCTTGTCAATATCCTCCGTATGACCTTGCAGTATTATCCGTAGGACCGCACAGTCTTCTCGGAGGACCTTATAGTGTTCTCTGTAAGACTGTAAAGTCTTCTCCGTGGGACCTTTGTGCAAGTCCACACACCGCCCTCAGGCTGTTTAGCGAGCAGTGCCTATGGGCTTGGGCTTGCTGGATTGAACCCAGTTCTGGTCTGGGGGACCTTTTCGGTTTGAAGGTTGTGGAATAAAGAAGCCTGGGTTACCTGGTTCAACTCCCCGTTTTCCTCTACACGGAAAAAACTCCGTGGTCGTGGCGACCGAAAGTCGATCGCCACGACCATCTTCGATAGTGGTGGGACTACCGGATTTCTGATGTGAGAAACCAAAGCGCCGAGCTGAGGCAAGCTGGCCATCAGAACGACGGTGTTGATTGTGACAAAAAGAATAGGGGATCCTAGAACCGTCGTCCATAGTTGCAGGGATAGAATAATTTTGGAACGCTTCGAGAAGACCAGAAAGTGGGCGAGAGGACCACTCATTTGACACTTTAGTCAACGGATCTCGTTTTTAAGGAATTTTACCCTGACGCTGCGCTCAGCATAGGATTGGTTAAAACTTTTCTTTGTGGTCCTCGCATTCTTAGCGTTCTTGCACTTTCAGTGGGGTTTTTGTATAAAAGTTGGGTGGCGATGAAGCCACGAAAATCGCGCCTCACTGCCCGATACAGGTATCTGTTTCGACGTGAGAGCGCGAGCGCGACCCGCCCAGTGGAGGATCATGCCTGCACCTAACCTAATGGGCGAAGTAGACGCCAGCGAGAGGCAACATGAAATGCGTTCTTCTCGACTTCAGTGTCATTTTTGTTCAGAACTTTTAGCTGACAGCTAGAGAAGATATTTACCAAGGCAAAAGAAACATTATTTGCGAAAATTTTTTACTTGAGTAAAATAAATCGGAAATTCTAATAGGCAAACGGACCCCCGTCTCCAAGCTGCAGGCCCGTGAAACCTCGACTCTCAAAAACCGAATTCCTTGGGCAGAGCGGTCGGTTGTGACGATCGGCTCGGGCCGACCAAGTGACTTGTAAGAGGATAGATACGCTAGTTGGTTGCTGAATCAAGCCTTTTGATGCTTACAACCACTGTAACGACAACTGGGTAAATCCGATCGTGAGGAACACGGTTTTTTTCCGTGTAGGTCCCGGCCTCCCCCCGGAGCGCTCTGTGCCCCTCAGCTGGCGCTTACCGACTGACGAGCTCCGCTCGGTCAGGCGGGCTCGGTGCAGCCTTGCTTACGTTTTGGAATTGGGTTCGGGCAGTGCCCCGTTGTGACAGAACGCAACACCTCATAGTATTCTCCGCAGTCTTCCGGAAAACTGTAAGGTCCGACGGAGAAGACTGTATGGTCCCACGGAGAATATTGTTAGATCCTACGGAGAATATTGATAAGAGGGCTACGGAGAATCGTGGCAAAACAATTAACTGAAGTTTGCGCACCTTTCAGCCACAGTGAGGCAACTTGAGTACAGAAGATGTGGAGAGGGAAGAGATTTCGTTGGCTATCGCAAGATTTCGACCGATTTCACGCTCAAAATGTTCTTGGCTTTTGCTAACTAAGGGGAAGATTAAAGATTTCGGGTGCTGAAGTGGAAGGGGAACCGGATTTGACGAGTGATTGCTCCCTCGACGGCCCCAGTGCCGCGTCGCGTCGAGTTGGCGGTAATGGGCCGTGCAGGACGTCGCGGCCGCCTGCACCGCCATGGCCTCGCCACTCGCTGCGGCTCATCCAACAGCAAGGCAGCCACGGATCAGTGGCGCCAACAGAAAAATCGACAGATGGTGTGATTCATGGCAGGGACCCACCCACCCCACGACCCCCCTCGTCTTCCCGCCCCTACCGGCGTAATATTCTTCAAAGATACATGTTAGGTATTGGTATAACTTAATGCTAAGATTCAGTTTTATCAGTTTTATTGATTCCTTGGTACATGGCAGTACAGGTCGAAAGAAAATGAAACATTGACAAAGTGAAAAGGGGGAAAAAAGTACAAACAAAAACAATAAGTATATACTTTAAAAAAATTCCAAAAAACTCAAAATTGTCCCTTAGCACTGGGGCTTGTCAGGGACCAATGATCTATCCTTAGTTAAGTCACAGACTATAAGTCAGTGGACGCAAAACATTGTTTTAAACTCTTATATCTCCTCTAAACTCAGAAAAATAGGGTTTTGTAGAAGATGAACGCAAACCCATAGACCCTCATCCCTCGCTGAAACAGTATTGCCATTGCCGAGACCTGACGAAAGTTACGGGCAGTTACTGAACACAGTTTTCAAAATAAAATCAAATAACTGTTACAATTTTTTTATTTTTATTTTCTTAAAAACTATTGCAGGTTAAAAGAGCATTCCAGTCAATTCTATGACTCAACTAGGGATGAGTATCCCTGATTTTCCCCCCACAGATCTCAGCAAGTATGCGCACTGTGCGAAAAAACCACAGCGAATCCCGTTAATTTTTTTGCCGGGATTCACTGTAGTTCAGAACACAGGGTTTACTGTGCCTGGCTACAATACTTACTGTACCTGGTACAGGATATTCCGTACTCCATCCCCGTGGTACGATAAATCCCGTACAAAGTACAGTAGATCCTGTAAAAAAGTACAGTAAATCCTGTACTCTGAACTACAGTGACAGCTGTACTAATCACAACAGGATTTACTGTGATTTTTCCCCACAGTGCGGTCAAAATCTTACGAGAACCAAAATTTGACACGTTTCTACTAAATTTCCAAAAAATTACTAAAGTCACTTAACCTTATGTCAACATGAAGATTACTAAATTATGTAAAAGGGTTTTAATGCAGAAAGCATAAAATTTTGATCCTTCTAGACCTAAAAGTTGTTTTTACAAAGTGCTTTTAACATATGTGTCCCTTTAAACATCCAGCTACCCTGAGGTACATCAGAGAAGAAATTCGGGAGGAGGGTCGGGAGAGCGCGCCGAAATATCCAATGGGTCTTCAGCTTGACTTCCTGGGTGACACTCGTTCAAAAACGACACTCTAGCGTGAATCTGCATGTCAATCAGCACTGCACTGTCAGCCAGTTCCGCTAGAGCGGCCATGGACTCCTGGCGTTTCCGGTTGCTTATGCTTGCGAGCCACGTGGTGAAAGGGCTGAGCAAAGGACGACTTTCCATCAAGGTTCTGCAACAAACGACAAGACGCTGATAAGACATAAAATCCTTGTTATCCACGGACATAATTGTAACATCATAGCACACCGCTCCGCCAAACGCTGTTGCCCGTGGGTCAGCAACGAAAATAATAGTTTGAAATTATAAGCTCGTATAGAACGTTAATATTAAAAATGCAACTTTTGCAAAGAGAAGCGTGCGCAGCGAGTCCAGCAATGTCTTGTCCCCGCGCTTCCCAACGCCGCCCGAGGAAAGGGCGTCATTTCAACATGGTTAAGATCCAACGGTCTGGGTCGAGAGTCTTACCTCTTGCGTTAAAAACGCACTGAAAATCCAAGTGTGGGACAGGCATGCACTAGATAACGTGGGACAAAATGTCCCACGCTTGCAAGCGTGGGACACGGTTTGTCCCACGCTTGCAAGTGTGGGACACGGATTTGTCCCACGCTTACAAACGTGGGACACCGTTTGTCCCACGCTTGTAAGTGTGGGACACGGATTTGTCCCACGCTTGTAAGTGTGGGACACGGTTTGTCCCACGCTTGTAAGCGTGTAACACGGTTTGTCCCACGCTTGCAAACGTGGGACATTTTGTCCCACGCTTACAAGCGTGGGACAGTTTGTCCCACGTTATCTAGTGCATGCCTGTCCCACACTTGGATTATCAGTGCGTGAAAAGGTGTCCCAAGTTACCCCCGTTGACGGTAGTTTTACCACTGCATGATAATACTTCGCACCGTGCTCTTACCTGTAAACGAGACTCGAGTAAGTAGGCTCTGACTGATTATCGACGGCAGTTGTGTACATCAACGGTACAGGGGGAGTCACTACGTGGCGTATGGTGTGTCCACAGTGGTAAAAGTGTTGACCCGAGTGGGTAAGATTGAACTGAGCGCCTCGCAGAGCCTTGTCTAGCTTCTCCTGCAGCGAGCTGTTTCGAGAGGACAGGCGGAGTTGCGTTTCACCGACCTTTACTGCGTGAATTGAAATATTCTGAAACAAATCACACAGAGAAATTAAATGTTTTTACCGTATTATTCTACTTACAGAGAAATGATGCAACATTTATGAAGCATTTGTAAGACATGGCAGACTCTCCAACCTGGGTCCGCCTTTACCTGGAGGGCAGCACCAATCGTGTCAATCAGCACGATTTCTCCTCGCAGGAGCTGATAAATTGTGTCAGTGTGCCTGTCTCCACGCCAAAGGAAAAGGGCAGACTCCTGAGGAGGCAAGTTTGACAGGCCGGAAGATGTCATCCTGTTGGCAGACAGAGGAACATGCTATTGGAATCACAACAAGCAGCAGTGAAACCTTTGCGTCACTTTGATCTGGACCAGGATGGGATCAGCCATGCACTCAAATAGTCTTACGAGAAAAACCAACACCAGTTCGAAGAACTTTGTGCATACATTTGGAGTTCCCTTCGCTTTTTCTTTGTGCCTTAGAAAGATAAACCGGAAAAGATCCGTAATATTAACAAATTCAGTTCGTACTATATTTGCACAAATTTCTTCGTACACTGCTTCCAAGTTCACTGCAAGGAAAAGTGCGTCTTTTCATTGTGCGTTTTTCAAACCATACGTTCGTAATCGTAAGCTTGTGCAGACGCTGAAATTAACCGAACTTAAAAACAATTGTTATTTCTCATTAGAATAAAATTTTCCGATCAGGCCAGCAATTTTTCGTAAAGGGAAAAGGGATCCCTCTCCGAAATGGCCAAGACCTACCCGAGAAAAAGCTTGGCTCGTTTGAAGCTTGGCTCCTCCGAAAAGGGACAGGCCCAATCCAGTTCAGGGCCTGCACTGTGGGGAAAAATCACAGTAAATCCTGTTGTGATTAGTACAGCTGTCACTGTAGTTCAGAGTACAGGATTTACTGTACTTTTTTACAGGATCTACTGTACTTTGTACGGGATTTATCGTACCACGGGGATGGAGTACGGAATATCCTGTACCAGGTACAGTAAGTATTGTAGCCAGGCACAGTAAACCCTGTGTTCTGAACTACAGTGAATCCCGGCAAAAAAATTAACGGGATTCGCTGTGGTTTTTTCGCACAGTGTGCTCCGAGGGGTTATGCACTCGCGTAATAGTCGGTTCACTCTATCTGTAATAGCACGCGTAATAATACGCGTAATAGCCTAAATTGTCAAAATTTTATCAATTTTGGTGTGTTTTAGGCCGTTTTTAGCTAAATTCCGATTAATTTGTGGTGTAATAGAGCGTAATAGCGTAATAGTCGGTACACAGGTTCAGAGAGCGCATACCCCCTCGGCCTGCTCTGCACGAAAAGTTGGGGATCGGCCCCATGGACTTACGGGAAGGCCCAATGGACTTAAGATAGAGACCCTTCAGATCGCAGTAGGGCCCCTTTACTCAGTCGGGCAGTGCACTGAGGCAAAATGTTCAAGAGGCAGATGTTTTTGACAGCTCGCGGCATGTCCCTTACTCAAAAAGATATTTTGCGGGGTCATTAAAGGTTTCAAGGTTTAAAAACTCCAAACACGAGATCACAATAGGCGATGCCCACCAGTCCACCCAACCCACACGAGGTGGTGACTGTCATGGCGGCCAGCGGCAGGCGACTGCACACGGTAAAAACGGTTCCTGGTTTTCCCAGGAACTCCCTGGAAATCTCCTACGCCTTCACCATTGGCTTCCTGGGAAAACTAGGTTCCGTTTTAACCGTGCAGGCAGCGTGAGGTGGTGAGTGGAGGGGAGAGTACGATGGGCTCGCATATGCTGTGCTGATCCACCCTTTGACCCATGCTCGGTAACCGACCCACACAGGTTTACTCACCACAGTTTAGAAAAAGTGCTGCTTCGCATGCCTAAATCCAGTTTCATTGCCGCGAAGTCGTCTACAAAGGCACTGGCACTTATGATTTCGTTTGTATTTCCTACTGCCAGTTCAGGGACCTGAAATAAAACATTATCTAAGCGCTATCCACGCCATCATTTTCTTTCGAAATTAATGATTGTTAATTGGTAGAAGGTCAAAATCGCTTATGAAACTGTGGGAAGCATTCAGTCGGACGATATTAAGCTCCTATACATCCTGATCACCGTGTAGGGGGATACGGTGGGGACACTCGGGCCCTCCGCCACGCGGCCGAGTGAAGCTCGTTTTTGGGCCGTTTCGCAGTTCCGAATGCTCCGCTAGTAGCGCTGTTCTCCAAGTGGGCCGAGGTGGAGGGGGAAATGGCCCGGCCCACCATTGGCTGGTCACTGTCCCACAGGCCGCCGCGCGAAAACGACAAGGCATTCAAATGTATTCTCGTGCGGTACTCACGGAAACGCGACAATGCCCCAAGTCTCGCGGGTGCTGCGCGGCCCTGCGCCCCCGACCACCTCCGAGACACACACCCCCAGCGCCATCATGCCCTCGCCTACAACGCCGGTGCCCAGGCGTAGGCCGAGCCAAGGTACTCCTGGCGTTGGTTGGGATGGTTACAGTGATACCCCAGACATGTCGACAGATTCGAATTCATCTGTACATAGCCCTTTTGAAAAAGAGGGTAGCAAAAAATAGTTGCAGTAGTTGATAACAAACTCAGACTAATACAAGAAACTAAAAATATTTTTTGACGTTATCAGTTTTGTCAGAAAGACACTCCACCAGAGACTGCATTCAGAAGTGACAGTCAGGTAAAAGCTTTTCTATGGTAGGCATAGAATAAGGCGCAAAAAAATAACATAGAATTAATTCATTGAATTTATAAAACAATCAGCAACAGTCTCCGCCAAGTCCCTGCATTCCACCTTTCCGGCTTGAAGTGGAAGCACAAGTACATGCAGAGCCAAGTGAGGCAACCCGAACGACTATTCCCACACATTCCCGACTACTCCCCCCTCGTTTGTCATCACAACCAAGACGCATCATGCAAAGCGAACAAGACTTAGACAAAATAGAATTAATAAGCACTGAAGTTACGGACTATGTGAATGTTCACAAGATTGCAGAGTCCATAAAATTACCAGGAGAAATGTGGAAACAACAGTAAGAAATCACAAAATATAATTTTTGTTTTACAGTTTTTAATATTTTCTAGTGTGAATCTTTTTCTTACTCAACTTCACTGCTTTCTGCTGTCACAAAACAACTGCTACACGTGAAAGATGTGATCTTCACAGGGACGGAAGAGATTGAAATCTATATTTATGGTCGGCTGTACAAAGCCGACAGCCACTTTATCAAAGAAAAGTCGGACATTGAAAAGTTGCAGAGAGATGTGAGTAAACAGTGCAAAGTTAGCTTCACAAAAAAATCATTTTGAAACATTAACAGTAATAGCAACATTTTTTTAGGTGCATTATACATATGAGTGTGTGCCCTGGCTACACAGATGTGGGTGCCAGAAAGCCCTTACACTCATCTCTTTGTACAATGGAAAAGGCTCACAATTCTGTCTGTTGCCAACACTATCGGCACATAAAGCGAGCAAACAGTTAAACGGGGAAAAAACACAGTGGAAAGCATGAAATGCGCAATGAAGACAGTTAAACAAAAATTGCGCATAAAAACAAAACAGGTTGAAAATTAAAGAAAGTTGAAAAAAATAGGGCAAAACTGAAATAAGCCAGTATGATCTTACTGTCCACAGAATATCACATCGAATGATAAATTATCAAGTGCAATAAACCGTCTCAATTCAATAAAAGCTGAGACCATACAACAAATTATATCAGACCTTCCTGAGGAGAAAAGGTTACTTGTCACAACTTGCATAGAGATGGCAAAATGCACAAGGAAAGGCAGACGTCACAAAATTGAATGGAATTACTCATCGGAAAACGACAAAAGACAAAATCACGGACAAAGTGGCGAAATGTTTAAGGGGCAGGGGGAGCGGGGTAGTTGCGCAAGGTGGCGGGACGCGGCGCGCAGCAGCCGGCCAATGGTGGGCCGGCCCACTTCCCCCTCCGCCTCAGCCCACTTGGAGAACAGCGCTACTAGCGTTCGGAACTACGAAACGGGCCAAAAACGAGCTTCACCCTAGACCGCCTAGTGTCCCCACCGTATCTCCCTAAACCGTGATCCTGATATAACGTGTCTTCCTTACGCTTAACTATGCGCTGACCAGAAAACTAAGACCTCTGAGTTCAGGCTGTCGAGGGCGAGGGCCACTAACGGTGGTCAGGTCGGCAGTGGTCCTCGACCGCGAGAACTCAGAGGTCTTCGGTTTTTGTTCAGAGTGTATGTAACCTTTTAGTGTTTGAGAAACTGACACAGCTTCTGGAAGCTTCATTTCCCTCCGCTTTTCCCCCTCTCCAGTCGTGTGACGCAACACGGCCGTCTGATCTCAGCACATTTCACACTTACCTTGAAAGTCTGTAATTCAAAGGGAAAGGCCCATTGGCGGTAACCCGATAATGCGTCTAAATAATTTGACATCAAAACCGCCTCCGAGTACAATGCGATTTGTTTCGAGTGATGTTTTTCTTTGCAACCTGATGAGAGAAAAAAGAAGACACAAATTAGGAAACAATTTCGGAAAAATGGAAGCTTGCGCAGCAAATAATAATGTGTATGCATCTGTTACGGTTTATGTTCGGTCGCCGGCTAATCTTACACTGACCAACATATTTCCAAACGGTCTAAAAAATTTACTTTATTTTTAAACATGAAAATTTGTTTGTGTAGTTTATGGCACTATTAGTGGGAAGGACGGGTAAAGGACGACAGTGATTAGAGGTTGACTTAGTTTATTGGAGAGAACCACACGGCTCGAGACTAGGCTACCTATTGTTGGCCGTCTCTGAGGAGCGATTCAATTTATAGTTTGGGCAACAGTGACACCTTGCTAGGTTGGTGAATTTAGAAAGCGAGACAATAGTGGAACCTTCGTCAAGGAAGGGAATCCACACCAGAGTCAGGAAGACGAAAAGAAATCAGAACTGACACTTGTTGCTTTTCACCAAGTACTGTAAATAGCTACATTTGTCTCGCAAGTTAATAGATTTTAAGAAATCACCAGTCGTGCTTTAGATCAGAAGTCTATAAATGTTCCGAAACGTCCAAAAACACGTTTTGCAACTTCAAGATCAATATTTCTTTGATAAAACATTTTGTGTATATCAAAACTTGAATTTTTAAACAACTTATTAGAGCATTTGATCAAGAAGTTGTGATATCGTCTGGAACCTCAAAAAATATCCCTTTTTCCATTTTGGAAGAAATCTGTGTTTGGTCATCCAAAAGTACTCGCACTGTAAACAATATGTTGTGACCTTACGGTGGAACTTTCTGCAACGGCTCGTTGAAATGTCCAAAGTTAATTTGAATATGTTTGATTTTACAGCGTTTCTCGCAAATGTACGGAAATCAAATGAGAACACCAGTTTACATTCTATCAAATTCAATCATTGTTTTGTCATATTGATAAAGCAGATGTTGGGACAAATTCCTGAAATATCGCTGACATGAAAAGCATCAAAGAAGTAAGTATAATTTGCTTTCTATCAGAATTTGAATAGTTCTCCTTTTTCTCGGAAAAGTACACTTTGTCGAATAATGTTTTAGATTTGCACATAACCGTGTCATCATATTCCCATTAAAAGTTAAACATTAAGAAACAGATAAAGTGCTGGTTACTTTAAGGTGCGTAATTAGTACAGAAGTGGTTGTCTCGCAAAAATTGATCGGCACACAAACTATGCCGGCGAATGTTAAGGCGAGCTAGGGGTTCTCGGCTTATGTTGCGACGCTAGCCGGCGAGACTCGGCTAGTGTCAAATAAAGTGAGAGGGCACAGGACATCATCAATTTTACTTGCTTGTGCAGGGCCTGCTTCTGTGGCACTTGGAGGTGCAGAGGCGCCCTGCCCTCCTGCACCCGCACCTGTCTGTACAACAACCAGTGGTGCAGTTGCATCGCTGCTGGCCCTGGCCCCCAAGTTGCTGTCACTCGCAAAGTTACTTGTTATCAGCTTGTTATTCTGCTTTTGACACCGTGGCCTACGGCAAGGTGCGCTTCCAGGAGTTTGTCACACAGCTCCTCGTTGGTGACGTTGAACTTCATCTGTTGCTCCTCCCCCTTCATTGGCACTATAAGCTACGGGTCAGCGTTGAAGCCTTGGGGTTTTCGCGTTGATATTGGGCATCTTTCACTTGTTATAATTTTGTTGTACTGTTCTTGGTCTTAAAAGCCGGCGTTATCTACTAGTTTCCTGCTCAGCAATTCTTAAATTTTGGAGTCTAAAATTGTGCGATCTTTTGGTTCCATGTTTACTTGGAAATTGTTTTTGGTGCCCCTCCCCCGTAACTCACGCTAACTCGGGTAATTCTTTTCCAAATCGCGGGAGCCCCGAAACAGGTGAGAAAAAAGACCCGCTCCGGACCCGCCGGGCCCGCTTCGAGATACAAGTGTCGATATCTCGTAAACTGTGGGGCTTTCGAGTGTTATGTGAAGAGTGACTTGTTTTGAAAGTTTTATTTCCATTCGATGTCTTGACTTTACTATCTCCGTGGGCCGTTGCCTGCCGCCCCCTGAATTGACACCTAAGATATGTTACTTACACTGGTAACCAACGAATGTGACGTCTTATTCGTTCAAATGTGAATTTTGTCACGTTCGTTTTAATATGATGTCACATTTTTTTGAATGTTGATCAGCATTCAAATGAATGTGACACCCCACTTAAACGGCCGAGTGACGTTTAAAAGAATGTGACATCATATTCAAAGGAACGTGACAAAATTCACACTCCTACGAATATCACGTCACATTCGTTGGTTACCAGTGTACCTGTACCCTTTGGTATCTGCCTTTGAAAGTTTGCCAGGCATGATTTTAAAATTAGGACACTGTTCAGCCCACAAATTTAGTTAATTTTCACAGAGTACTACTTACTTTCACTCGCCAGAGCTGCAGACAAATTGGCAGCCAGGACATGCGTCGAGACGAGGTCTAGATCGCGGAGGACCTGTGCCTGATCTGAAAGCGCTGTATCCAGCACACTTATGTACGTGGAAACTGATTGTAGAACAGCAAAGGGAATGTCCCACCTTAAGAAAACAAAACACATAACAGGTGCAAATTTGGTTTGTCCGAAATGTCGGTTTAAAAAAGACAGTAAAGATTCTTAACTTCACGTATCGTTTTAACATATGGGTCATTTAGGCACATTCAGTATATTTAAAGGTGTGCTGGAATCTCAGTTAATTCTCTTCCTTCTTGGTTAGAAGCGAACGGAGTACCGATCGAACGTCACTCCGCATTGAGCCTGCCATGATGAGCAAACACTGGACTTACCGAGAAACTTCGAGCTTTAGGTTCATTAGTTTTTTTGCCATTCCATCGTAATTATTAATATTACTGCCATTCAGAAATTCAGTAAACAAGTCAAGCATTATCTTGATGTGTTTGAAAGGAGCCAATTCAGTTTTAATTGTCTTGACTTTGTTTTTTAGATCTTCTAAGCCCAGCTGACCAGCAACGAACGGCCCGGCTTTCGCTACAGCGCTAGCTACCGCATTACCGGAAGCGGCCCCCACGGCTCCGATTACTTCAAGAACAACTTTTATCACTTGCTTTGTCTTGATAGAGGCTTCCATTTCTGTCAAGGAGGCGTTCGTTTCTTTGTTGTGTGTCGCAATCCGCGCGCTTTGTCTCTCCAAGTCGTCCTGGAAAACAGTACCAAAAACTTATATCAGGGTAAGGTAAGTTTCATCCAAGCCCAGGATTGAAACTGTTGAAAGTTTCAATACATCATACAATTTATTGAAGCCCGCACCCAAACCGTCTTCTACACTGAGAAAATGGACTTTGCCCCATCAGAAACGTGGTCAAATCTTACAGACCATTGACCACACCATCTCGTGCGGAATAGACCACGTTTGTTTTCTCAGGGTTATGGTACGATTGCCCGTCAGATTTGAAACGATTCCCTCTCATCATACTTCACCTGGAGTCGTCTTAGAGTCTGTTGCACGTTGGAATACACAAACATCTGCTTTGATTCAGCTCTCTCTTGCAGGCTGCTTATAAAGGTTTCGTGCTCCCGGTGAACCAACTCATGACACCTCTCACCCAATATCGAATTGAGATGATTCCTCGCAGTCTCCAGCAAAGCATCGATGAACTTGGCGCTGTCGGTGACGAGAACAGAGGCGCCGCCGAACTGCAGTGACCTTTTCACGTTGGCCAGAATGGATTGGTACCATTGCAGGTCCACCGACTTCGGCGGGAGACAGGGGCTGCAAGAAGGGATTCAATCAGAGAGTCGGCGTTAGGTGAGTACTACCAGTCGCAAACGACCCCTTGGGCGCGGCTTTCCGTTCACAACTTCGAAACCGTTCACACTGCCAATCCAAGTATGAGACAGTCTCACACTATTTACTGCGAACCACGATGTCTCACGCTAACAAGTGTGGGCTAAAGACTAAATTGTCATCAATTATTGACTATTTTTTAAGTCAATTGCGTATTGACCGTTTGTCAATAGCAAGTTGACTTTACGTCAATATAACGAACAAAATCCTACATAAATATTGAGGAAATAGTACTTTTTATTGCTGTGTAAAATACTCTTTAACAAAGGACAAAAAGTCAATAACAATCTGAGAGTGTGAGACAAATGATGTCTCACATTTTGCAAGCGTGGGACAAACGTGGCTCACACTTGTAAGCGTGAGACATCGTGGTTCGCACTTAATAGTGTGAGACTGTCTCACCCTTGCATTGGTAGTGCAGTTTGGAGGGGTAAACAGTACACTGAGATTCAAAACGCTATGAAAACAGCACGAATGGTGCAAATGCACCGGCACCATACGTGCAATGCGTCCCAAACATGACCTAAGCTGATGCATGGGAATGCAAAGGCACTGCACCAATGGACGCTGTATCCATTGCGTTTGGATTCTGAGTGGGAGAAAGCTACGCGCACTTATTGAAAACTTACCGGAGACTATTTAGATGCCGCTGAACAGATGCCACCAGCCACTCGAGGTTTGGGAGCGATTCGCGTGCAAAGACTTTTGTCTTCACACGTTGAGCTAAGTCCACGAGGCGCTCACCCACAAATAAAAGCTCGATTGGAGCTCTTGTTGCAGTCCGAGGTACGATGTGACCTTCATCGATATGCGAAAGAAACCGCTGTCCCACTACATCTTCCATTCTTATGTTGCGAAACCGTTGGGTGACGGCATCCTGATACAATTTCAATGCTCGGTAAGGCATCTCAGCTTCCATGGTCAGAGCGCCAAAAGCCTTGCGACCAGAATCGTTGGCGCCAGAACGACCTTTCTTGCCACTTTTGGCTCTGCCACCAGGCCTTGTGCGCTTCAAAGCTGTTTTTCTCCCTACAATGGTACTGAAAGATATGTACCACATCTGATCAGGAGCGTTTTTCCCACCCTCTCCACCCTCGCCCCCTTCACCATCACTGCCCTCTTTTCCCTCTAGGACAGAAATACGCACATTTGATGGTTGCCGTGTAAAGACTTTGACAACTCCAGCGGGACCTCCAGTGCCGCCTTTGCCACCGTCCCCACCGTCAGCTCCAGGATCCCCTTTCCATCTTACGTCATTTTCGACTTTACGTCTGCTGCAGTAAGCTTCTGATAAGTCGATTTGCGAGCATGCGCGTTGCAATTTTTCAGCATCAAGATAGCATACGAATCCATTAGTGGTGTGGTACTCTTCAGAATCTTCATCTATACAGATCCTTTTTGCACGAGATCTAGTCGCTGCAAACGCATCGTAAATAACGGATCCTCCAAGTGTAAGAACTCCACCGACTATTGTAGCAACCTGCTCAGTGGCGCTGTAATCATCTATCAAGATCAAAGCGCCGTTGCTGCTCTCGTCAGCGCCGTCTGCACCGCGGCCCCCTTGCTGCCCCGGCCCGCCGTTCCCACCGTGTGCCTCAATGGTTAACTGTTCCGAGTTAATAATTGTATCGCTCAGCAAAATAACCCTGCCACCAGGGCGACCAGGGTGTCCGGGTTTGCCGTTTTCGCCACGCCAGCCAGGCACGCTGGCCTGGCGCGCCGGTTCCTCCCACTTCCCTCCTGACAACCCGTTAACTTTTAACGAACGAATACCGACCACCACAACCTGCGAAAAGAAAAGCAACAATGTTAAACCCAGCAGGGACCCTTAACTTCGCATAAAACACAACGGACAATGGTTAAATATCTTACTGTAAGACAACGTTGGTCAAAGTACATGATAGGAAAAAAGCAGCAAACTTACCGTGGGAGCAACTATGGTAAGGTTCGAAACTGTGTCCAGATCTGCGTCAATGATGAGGGAATGTATGGCAATAATTTCCAGGTTGGGTTGGTCCGCAGGTATTAATGACGAAATTTCACTTATTTTTAATACGTAACCAGTAACTGAAACAGAAATAGAGTGATAGTATTTGACCATTTCAACAAGTTACAATTGTGGCTCCTCAAAAAGCCAAGTTACTAGAGAGGATTAAACATAAAACTGACCCTGCCTTAAATAACATTTAAGATGGGATCGTATTTATGAACAACTTTTATATCGGTGGCCCTTCACGAGATGAGATACATAAATTAACTTTATCGCAAGATTGAACTTCAGTTTGTACCTTGAATGGAACTCAACCGTGTATCCGAATAACCAGCCAAAATCGAAAATTTCATAAGTCCAAGTTTTCAGAAGAATGAAATGAAAGTGTGAAAGTGTACTCTTATAACAAATCTGAGCGAGAATACTATCACTCTAAATGTCTTACGAAGAAATTTTCCATAATACGAAGAAAATAGCGCAAGCATAATACGAAGGTGGTTTTTCTTCGTATTACGAAGGTTTTTCTTTGTATCTTACAATGAAAAAGCTAAAAAGATTCGTATTACGAAGGAATATTGCTTCGTATTATGCTTGCGCCGAATTCACTGTAACATACGAATAACATAGGTCAAATTTCATTGCAAGACATTTAGGGTGATCTGGCCATAAAGGTACCCGGTTCCAAACGCTATGAGTTCAGCACGTATGGTGCAATGCAGCTGAGATATCGCACCATACGTGCATTTCGATAGCCATATCGCACCTTACGTGCGATGCGTCCCGAAAATGCCCTATGCTAATGCATGGGAATGGGGAGGCATCGCACTTCATGAGCAATGCTTTTGTATCGCACCAATTGACGCTATGCTCATAGCGTTTGGATTCTCAGTGTACTCCCTTTACCACCTGAATTCGGGTGAGGATACCTTCCTCAACCGAAGTTTGGCGAGGATATAATCCTTTCGGTAAGAATATAAGCCTCTCCCAAATTGGCGTGATGAAGTATACCTCGCCCAACTCAAAGACTTTTTCATTTTCAGTGAATTCACTTCAACTCACCCTGATGGACTGACATCTGCACACTCATGGCCGACTTTATCTCAGAAAACCACGATTTCCCGAGTGGGCAGGCGTCAAAGGCATTTGTTTTTAAGGGATATTGTTTCCACAAACCTGGACTGGATAATTCGTTCAAAATTGTTTGCATTGCTTGTCCGCTGCGGGAAAAAAAATACATGTATAATTTAGTTAGAATCTGAACAAACAGTTAAAGATTTTCGTTACACGATTTGCGCTTGTATAGTGTATAAAGAGATTTCCTTTTTATTGAATTGGTGGTGTAGGATAGTTGCAACGAGGCTACATGCCGGCGTCAGGAACACCTTGAGGTGCACGTGCAAGTCAAAACAGCTTAGGCTATGCAAGAGACAAGGGCTTATTAGAAGGTTCATTCTCAAAACCTTACCAACTATTGCAGGCCTTACAGAAGGAGCTTGTTCTAACAAAGTATTTTGAGCAAATGTAAGGTTAGAAGGTTAGAAGGAAAATACTTCGTAATTTACAAACTATTTCTACATAGAACAAACTAAATACTATTATGTGCCTTACATATACGCCCAAAATACTTTAAGCGTGTAAGAGGATTGTCGTTCGGAAGTGTTTCCTCATTCCCGGTGGAGGAGATTCTGTTTCACCACGCAAAGCTGCATCTCACCTCCACACTTAGAAACTATTTGGCGCGGAAGATAATTGACCTGAGCATAGTCTAGGAAGATTTCATGCTCGTTTTTGAAGGAATTTTGTGCGGAGGGTTTGTACCACTCGCGTAAATATTTCTGGCATGGTATTCATGTTAACCAGTAAAGAACACACTAAATGTCATGGCACTCTTTTTGTCCCACGATTTATGCAATTTTAAGCACATCCGACGCCGATACAATTTTGTTCCTGTCTGGTGACACATTTTGTCCGGCGCCTGCTGCAACTTGTACTTTCACTAGACAATTTGTCCCGCCTGGCGGACACAAAATTGCATCACCACCGGATGTGCTTAAAATTGCATCATTCGTGGGACAAAAAAGTCCTATGACATTTAGTGTGAAACTTCTTTACCCCCAGTGAAAGAAACTGCTTCTTTACCAGTGTGGCTACTTTATCTTACCAAAGTAATAGATTGGAAATATTAAATTGTTCAAGCCGGACCTCAGAAACCAAAGGCATCTCTCTAGGAAATATTTCGCCAATCATCTAAGAGTCACAAAGATTAGATGAATTTTTACAGCACTAAATTTTCAGGGGTAAAGTTAAAATGTAACTTTTCTAATGAATAAAATCACACCTTTGACAAATCACTCGTGATTTGACGGATTCGAATCAGCATACCAGCACGATGTTGTAATTTCAGGAACCAATCGCCCGCTCTGCCTATGCCACCTACGCTGCACATCGTAGGAACTTCACTTCGATGGAGGAAGGACTCTGAAAAGTCAAGAAACGTAAAGTGCTTGTCTTCTGTTCCACCCACTTAGTTGAATAAAAAAGTAGTACAATATTAGAAAGTGCCCAGGGTTTAAACGATACAAGGAGAAGCAGCTTCATACGAGCAAGAGAAAGATCGTGTTCTACACGAGTCTCATTGGTTTTCTTCTAAACAGAACGTCTTTAAAAACAAGTTGAAAGATTACCTACCAATCTGGATTTGGCATCTTTTGATTGAGTATAGCTGCTCCATGAAAGCGTTGACTCCAATAACACTGGTGACATGCATTTGCAGCTCACCCTCCCAGCCGACGACAGCACCATGCAAGTTAATAGCTGCCTCTTCTTTCGTCAATCCAGCAGCCAGTTCCAACTCCAGCTTCTTTTGGTATCGTTCCCTATCACGGAATGAAACCTCTTTACTCTCAAGGAGGCCCACTAGACGCTCAAAGAGTAGATTTGAGTTTGTAAGGCGCCACACCTAGAAAGCACAGGTATTTGGAACGGAGATTAGTTCACGGTCTGAGGAGAAACGTCTCCCGGCAAATCATCTGCAGTGGGTGGCTCCAAATCTTGAGTTATATTGCACGCTCTTTCTGATAGGCCTGCACCGGACACCTGATCATGATCTTTTATTGTGCATTGCCATATTTGTGCATACGGAAGCTATGTAAATCACGGACGATATTCCTCCCCCATATTGTAAGTAAGTATTTGTACGCAAGTTACAAATTTGTACTGCAGTACATAACTCATAGGCCTACTATATGCACAAATATGGCAATAATTAAGGACAAAACGTGCATAGGCGCTTACCGTGAGGAATTGAGCTTAGAGCATTTGGAAGGAAATGCAAAGCTCAAAGCAGAGAAGGTTCACTCGTGTGCAATGCTCGTGTGTCAGAACGTCAGAAACCTATTTGAAGACCTCATAAAAATTCGCGCACTTCTGAAGGCTGAAAATTTAATCCGACATTCTGTAGAACTGAGGCTATCAAATTTAGAATAAGTTATCAGAATTTCAGCTTTCAGAGGTGCGCTAATTTTGATCAGGATTTCAGACATGTTTCTGACATTCTGAAAAAAATTACATGAGTGTTGCAATTTTTGTTTTGTAGACTCATGCGCATTAGCGAGCGAGCTTTTATGTCCATTTTTTCTGAAGTGAGGAGGGACACATACCTTGTTGGACGCAATGATGACACATTTCAGTTTTGAGAGGAACCAGGCAACGTCATTGATTGGTTTCAGCAACTTTGTGGAGTCACTTGTCCAAGCACCTTCTAGAAGATCTTCCATTTGGGAGTAATGCAATAGCTCGTTCCAGAGCGACGGCCACCATTCCAAGGACGTAATCTGATGCAGACGTTCAGAGACAGAACAGGGATCACTTGAAGAGAGGGCCTCGCCGTGACCGCTAGAACACGAAGCAAGGCCACATCTCGCGTGGAAGAAACGTATAGCAAGATCGATATGAAGACAGTAAATTGCTCGTTTCCTTCCATTTGAAAGTCCGCTAGGCTTCCTCGTGACAGATGCTGTATAGAAAACAAATACGAACCTGAGAGCAATACAAAGTTTCTACGGTGGCCGAATCCGCCGTATCCAGGTCCACTAGGCAGTCCTCTATCTCACGGAAAGAAAGAGTTGGAAAAGACGAGTCCCGTTTGGTGGAACGGAGGTAGTCGATGAGATGATCATTGAGCTTCCTGGCCAAGGTGTCGGATGATTGATGCAACAGGTGTGTGATTTTCATCTCGGAAAACTGTTTAAATAGAAAGCAGAAATTAGTCGCACCCTCGTCGCTGACTGATACGAAAAAAATGTTCGTAACACAAATCAAACAGCTTAAGTATTACAAGAGAGTTGCTTTGAAACTTGGTTCCTAAAAATACAGAAGAAAAATTTACAAAAGAAGTTTTATGCAGACTTAAGTTTCGTAGTACAAAGAAAAATCATTCGTGCGAGCTTCTGAGTGTCACGATCATCCCGTTTCCACGGCAGTGCCTGTGCCTTACCTGAATTTGTCGCTTGACCTCTTCGGCAGCAAATTCCGTTAGACTGTATCCAAAGTCGGTTAGTGATGTCTCCACGAACTCAAGGTCATATTTTAACAGGTGCAAAATATTTGAGCGAACCTGCCATGGAGGAAAGAAAGGTAAGCTGGATAAATGCAAGAAGGTTGTGCATGCGACTAGTTTTAATATTCGTGTAAAAGATGACGCCGCCTAGCAGGTGGAAGTACACACTAAATGTCATGGGACTTTTTTTGTCCCACGGTTTATGCAATTTTAAGCACATCCGACGCTGATACAATTTTGTTCCCGTCTGGTGACACATTTTGTCCGGCGCCAGCTGCAACTTGTACTTTCACTAGGCAATTTCTCCCGCCTGGCGGACACAAAATTGCATCACCACCGGATGTGCTTAAAATTGCATAAACCGTGGGACAAAAAAAGTCCCATGACATTTAGTGTGTAGCTACTTCTGAACGGAGCAGCAAGAAAGCGAGACTGGTAAAACTAAGGCGTAACTATACGCTTGAGTCAAGCATAAAGTTACGCTTGAAATGAAGCATAGACTATAAAGTCTACCATGCATTTAGCTAGGGGATATCTCGGATCTGCCTGTTACGCTTGGAACAGGGGGTATTACTAAGGTTTAGTTTTACAAGTGAATAAAAATGGACTTCCTAAAACGCAATGAAGTTAGCCGCTAAAAACACTCAAAACTTCAAGTTTTCAAGAAAAAATCCTAAAAGTAAAGTACAGCTCGACAGCATGTTTTGTTTACAGTCATTGCAGAGAAACCAAAATATGTATAACTGACTACATCACGTGTGACCCAGGCTCAAACCTATCACGACACAGTGCACTCTTAGAAATTAGGGTCACTCAAACGGTTTAGTCGAGATACGTGATCGTGATTCCGCATACGGACATCGATTCAACGAACCGACGTCATTTCGAACACCTCATTCTGGCTGGGTCCTTACCTTGAGAAGCATTATTACCTTTTGCAGAGACGGAATCTCAGAAGCACGTCCCGACTCGTCTTCAGCAACGCCATGGCCAAAAAAGGCAAATTTGGGGTTATCCAAGAGCTTGGACATATTTTCGCGATATTGCTCAGGTACTGTCGTGAAATCGCGGTTTATGTAGCTTCGTACATTTTTTATTGCATGTCGGGCAAAATTTATCATTTGGAACTCTTTTTTCGTTCGTTGAGCTTTCGTAAAAATGAAGCCAATCGATTTACTGTATTTAGGACTGTTCTTAATCAGTTTAACTGTATACAAAAGAAGTTGTAAGAAATCATTGGCTCTATCCTCAAGAGACGAAAAGGGTGCGGTCAGAAGAATTTTAACCCTTTTTGTTTTACGGAAGTGTGCGTTCATAGCCATTGCCTGCTCCACTTGGAGACACGAGCCTCTGTTATCAGAAAATCCCGGAAAATCAACAAACACTAATCCGTCTTCTTCCATAATGAAAATCTCTGGAAATTTTGTTTTAGACGTCACGCCATTTGACGTTTTGTTCAGATCATCGTGAAAGGTGGTAGTTCCATGATTTTCGTCTTGTTCCACAAGAAGGTGGAATGGATGGGTCAAAAGGAGGCTAACTGTGGTCTTTCCACTTCCAGACAGTCCTAAAATGAATGTTGCTGAACCATTTGCCGAAGTTTCTTCTGGAAATGAAAACGGCGGACAGGAAATCTGTAGGCAACGAAAGAGTACTATGTAAACAGTAATGTATAGCCGATAAAACTTTGCAACCCCTGTGCTTTTTTTCGTCAACAGCGTTAAGGTGGCAGCCATAAGAAAATAAGTATTATTTTTATTGACACTCCACCACTTTCTGCGTATCAAAAGTCCACGCCTAGTGGCTGGGGCAAAGGCCAAATTGACCCTGCCAGTATGTTCGAACCCCGCCGGTTCGGACGCCCCTGGGTTAGGGTGGCCCACGCGAAAAAAAAAGTTTCAAAATCGAGAAGCGCCGCACGGAATCTTAAAGTTCGGCCCAAAATAAAATTTTTCCGCATTTTTTCGATTTTTTTGGAGCATTTTTAGGGGTTGCGCAACGCGCTCAAAGTTTTTTAAAAAATAATGAATTTTAGTGAATAATATTTTTTGGTGCTGTAATTCGAGTTTTGGTCGTAAAGAGAAAAGCGAAACGCCGAATTGTTCGTATTGATGCCTAGAATAAGTTAAAAAATACTGCATACCGAATATGCACATGGCCTACTTTCCAGGGGCCAAAAACTGCAATAAAATAGGGGGAAAATGCCGTATTTTCATCTTTGTAGGCAGATTTGACAACTTTCCCGCCGTCGGATCGTCTTCTCCTATGCGCCAATCGATTCCTCACACTGAGAGGACCCCTAGAAACACCTTGGACTATGCAAGTAAACGACTGCCTATTTTCTAGGGGCGATCAATTTAAAGAAACGTTCGAACTTTGTGCCTTTTTTCACCTTAAAGGGCCAGTTTGACACCTTTCTGGGCGTCCTATCGTCTTGCTCTGTGCGCCAATCGACTCCCCATGATGCGATAACCCCTAGAAACAACTTGGACGATGCGAGTAAACGAGTTCCTATGTTTCAGGGATGAACAATTTAAAGAAACGTTCGAAATTAGCGTTTTTTTCACCTTTTGGGGTCAGTTTGACACCTTTCTAGGCGTCCTATCGTCTTGTTCTATCCGCCAATCGATTCTTCATGATGAGAGAACCCCTAGAAACACCTTGGACGATGGGAGGAAACGGTTAATACCTGATTGGCGGTGATCAGATGGCGGTTAAGGCTGCAAATTGTGCGAAACCGGCCAAAACGGCTTAAAAAGAGGTCCCTTTCATGCTTTTCTTGATTTGATGGCACCCGACAGGTAGCCAATCCTCAACCCATTGTATCAAAGTTGTGTTCCAGGGTTCTCTCATCATGGGGAATCGATTGGCGCATAGCACAAGGCGCTAGGACGGCTAGCAAGGTGTCAAACTAACCCCAAAAGGTGAAAAAAACGCTAATTTCGAACGTTTCTTTAAATTGTTCATCCCTGAAACATAGGAACTCGTTTACTCGCATCGTCCAAGTTGTTTCTAGGGGTTATCGCATCATGGGGAGTCGATTGGCGCACAGAGCAAGACGATAGGACGCCCAGAAAGGTGTCAAACTGGCCCTTTAAGGTGAAAAAAGGCACAAAGTTCGAACGTTTCTTTAAATTGATCGCCCCTAGAAAATAGGCAGTCGTTTACTTGCATAGTCCAAGGTGTTTCTAGGGGTCCTCTCAGTGTGAGGAATCGATTGGCGCATAGGAGAAGACGATCCGACGGCGGGAAAGTTGTCAAATCTGCCTACAAAGATGAAAATACGGCATTTTCCCCCTATTTTATTGCAGTTTTTGGCCCCTGGAAAGTAGGCCATGTGCATATTCGGTATGCAGTATTTTTTAACTTATTCTAGGCATCAATACGAACAATTCGGCGTTTCGCTTTTCTCTTTACGACCAAAACTCGAATTACAGCACCAAAAAATATTATTCACTAAAATTCATTATTTTTCTAAAAACTTTGAGCGCGTTGCGCGACCCCTAAAAATGCTCCAAAAAAATCGAAAAAATGCGGAAAAATTTTATTTTTGGCCGAACTTTAAGATCCCGTGCGGCGCTCCTCGATTTTGAAACTTTTTTTTTCGCGTGGGCCACCCTACCCTGGGTGTCAGCCTGGAACGTCAGGACAAAAACAACGTTAACGCTTAGTGAAAGCAGATGATACTGATGCCATGTTAACTTGATGTATCGCAATTCCCGATAACACATGCATGGTTTAATTTACGAAAATGTTAATTTTGATTCAACTATATTTAATGTTCTGTGCGAACAAGTTTCTCTTTCACCTATAACATATAATACCTCGTACGCGGTTCAGGATAGTAAGAATTATAGGTTCTTGTATTTTTAGGATTGTGTACGAAGTATTGTAGGAGAAAGTGTCGTGTATGGCAAATTACGTGATACGTATTATATACGGCTCAACAAGGCCGTGACTTCCGGATGGTTGTACTCTTCTTCTTATCAGTTCAATGAAGTTACTTCTACGAGAACCGGTGTGTTGATAGACGTGTCTCCAGTCCCCTTGAACACCTTGAAGAAAACTAAATCAAGCTTTATCGGACTAACGGCTCACAAGCCTACCCAAAACTCGGAACACGTTTGTCAGCCCCCTTGCTTCTGCCTTCACATTTTTAGCCCTACTTTTCACTTTTCAGTTTCCCCGTGATTAGCAAACGAAGACAAAGGCAATATAGACTAAATGTCATGGGACTTTTTTTGTCCCATGAATGATGCAATTTTAAGCACATCCGGTGGTGATGCAATTTTGTGTCCGCCAGGGGGGACTAATTGTCTTGTAAAAGTACTATTTTCAGCAGGCGTCAAGCAAAATGTGTCCCCAGACGGGAGCAAAATTGTATCAGCGTCGGATGTGCTTAAAATTGCATAAATCGTGGGACAAAATAAGTCCCATGACATTTAGTGTGAACAAACCCCTGCACTGTTTCCGATTTTGGGGGCCGGTCCAATTTCTGTGAAAGAAAAGAAGGATGCAGTTAATGATAAAGTGTCAAATGTCCCATTCCACGACCAGTGGTAATCACACCCGTCTCAATTGAAGGTTGATGTACGTCGGCCCATGATGCTACGCCCGTGACTGGAGAGATTGTCTGGACAGTTGACAGGAAGGCAGGCCAGGGGCCACGTACCTTTCTTCGCCATGTTCATCCGATTGAATTTGCCACTTGATATGATGGACTCAAACTGGGTTACTGGGTTGCGGAATCTCTAATTTTGCGGACTGACTGAGGACTGAGGAACATGCTCCAGTGCGAAACTTTGCTTTGAAGTTGCTTCGCACCCTGACGTCTGATAAACACCATTAAGGCTAAATATGCTTCTTATGTAATGCCCGAGAGGCATGTCAGGGAAGAGTTAATTGTATCTAGTAGATTTCAAGCAATCGTATGTTCAGTTTTCGGCCATTTTTAGTGAGAGTAATTGAGTCACCACTGTCACTCATCACATGGTGATGCAAATTTGAATGATCAAAATTTGATCACCCGAAATTTCACTTCGAGATCATTGGTTAAGCGCTTGCAAAGCGCAACTCGGCTTGGGTTATAAAGTCTTGGCTGTCAGTGCGTTGTTGTTGTCGTCGTCGTGGTCTGTGCACAAGGAAAGATCTGAACCAGCGTTCCCACATTTGGAGGTTACTTCAGGAGTATACCGTCTGTCAATGGTGTCGACTCTGTCAACCTCAGTGTTGTACATTTGTAGAGTTGGTGTTGATGGTACTCACCAGCCAGATCGGCCGCTTGGACGGCCGTGACGAGCACTAATGTTTTCAGGAAGCGCAGCATGAGTACCTGCGCCCACTGGGCGCGCTGTCCAAGGCAAGGAGCAGTCAGCATGCGTCCATGCGACGATCCCACCTTCTCTGAACTGGCACTCTGTACACACGGGACGCACACACACACATTGCCCCTCCCGCCCCACTCGATATCGCTTCATTTCGAGCAAAGCCCTCACAGCAGTACACGTTATCGGCGGCGCGAGGAGACCACTTTTCCTTCAAAACAATAACACGGAAATTTCCCAAAGGCCGCAGCGACTGCGCGAGGCGTAGTTACAGCATTTGTTAATTGTTTGGTCCCTGCGATTTCTCATCCTTAAAGAACTGACAGCTTCCACGCAGTCATCATCCATAAAAGTTCCATCGGTACGTCATCATTGAATTTATCCGCCATCTCATCTGAAGTTTTAGCATTTTCTGGAGCACTTGCACTACCTGTTTTGAAGATGTGGAAGAAGGATTCAGTGGTCTGCCCACCGGACATGATGTGGTACAAATTCATTTTTGTGGCTGGGTCAGCAAAAGGTAAAACCTGTGAACTTGAAAGGTGGTAGGTTTTTACAACAGCATGAAGATGTTTGCACAGTGACCCTCCCACACCTGCTTCACAAGAACACAATTCTTGGTTTCAAGATCTTTTTCATGTGTTTTGTTTTTAAATTTTGGTTCGTGAAAAGTTTTTATGAAGTCTAGAGTCTTCATTTCGTTGTGACGGACAATTTTTTTTTTTTTTGAAGAGTTTTGCAGAATGGGAACAAAAAGGGGTGTTCCAGTGCCGCAGATTCGTGTGTTAACGCAAAATCAAAACAATTTTAGTTTTGTTTAAGTTTGGTTGCAGAATATTTATTGTGTCTTCACAAAGCATGGTTTCCTTTCGGTGTTTGGTAGCTATTAATAGGAGAAGAAAAGAAAAAAAAAGATCATTCCGCCTCAAAAGCATTAAGAGTCCTCCTTTGACGAAACCCCTCTGAAACTGGGTTGGTTAGAGCCTGGAGTCTGTCTCCACAGGATCAGACTGTACTATCCTAAAGCTGCACAACTGCCCATAAAACGTTTCGTGGCGAAATTAATGCACAATAGCACTTCATTAAGCGTTGACGACTAAGGACTCCGCCGTGTGGCTTACTGATTCGCTCTCGCTGAAAGCCTTACGAAGTATTTTGACCATACGCACTGCACGAAAAGACCACAACAAAAGTACACAAATTTCTGGCAAATTTTTTATTAGGTATTTATTGTACTTTCAAAGTACAACAGTTGTTGTACAAAGTACAATCACTGAAAATCCATCGGCGCGACTTCCTGCCGCTGCAGGGGCGTGAATTCAGTGGCGGATCCAGAGGCGGCCTGTGGGGGGGAGGCAAAGTCGCACTGTTTGCCTACTTACAGGGGCAAAGTAGCACTTTTTGCTCCCATTGCTACCCCCCCCCCCCCCCGGTATCCGCGCCTGCGTGACTCCAAAATTCACGCCAATTTTTGGCGTGAATTTCTTGTCATGCCGCTTTTTGGCGTGACTTTCTCTCATAAAACGCGTCGTCATTCACGCCAAATGAGGTTGTGACTCCCCTGTCACGCCGTTTTTCGGCGTGAATTTGGTGTCACGCCAATTTTTTGCGTGACTTCTTGTCACGCCATAATGTGGCTATGTGTCCGACCATTACGTTTTCAGTGATGGAACCGGCATGACGAGTGCTGTGCAGTCAAGGCCTCGTTGTGGTTTGTACAATTCTCGTTGTACTGTTTACAATCCCTGTCGCACTGCTATTGTACAGTTTTTGTTGTACATTTGCTGTACTATTCGCAATTTTTCTTGCAGTGCATAATACAAACTAATTTACTTTGTTATACGAAGAAATAGGTCATTAACTACGTAGTATTTTCTTAGTAAGCTTATGTATGCTCAAAATACTATTTTATAACAATAACTGCTTTTCTTAGGAAGGCCCAAAATCGTTTGTAAGATTTTCTCAGTGCTGTGCGCGTGCAGCTGGAAGTCTAGCCTAGGCTGGCGATGCGGCCGTTGATGCAGCGCTGCAGCTTGAAGAACGCAGCCGGCTCCACGCAGCGCTTCATGTTGGCCAGGTAGTTGGGCAGGTCGTCTTCGTAGAGGTCCGCGTGGCAATCCGTCAGGTCCGAGTGGGGCTTGCTGCCCGAGCTGAAGCCCTTCTTGGCCAGGGCCATGCACTGCGTCACGAACTGGTGGGCCTGGGCGGACGTGGGCTTGGTCACCTTGGTGCTGGGCTTCGGGAGACCAATGGGTCGGCGGGCCGCTTCCACCTGCGCCAAACAACACATTCGCTCTTCCACTGCACTGTTAGACCTATGTAGACTATTCTCTCTCTTGCTTATGACGTTTTTTGAGCAAACATTAAATGTACTATTTTCTCTCTAACTTTGCACAATTTTGATCGTTGTAAAGATAAAATTGTCAATAGATCATGTAGAAATTGAAAAGTACACGACAAAAAGTCAGGTTAAATGTATTTATAAAGACATTATAAAATGAACAAAATCGTTCATAGCTAAAGAGAAAGTACACTCTAAATGTCTTACGAAGAAATTTCCCATATCACGAAGGAGATGGCGCAAGCATAATACGAAGGTGGTTTTTCTTCGTATTGCGAAGGTTTTTCTTTGTATCTTACAATGAAATAGCTAAAAAGATTCGTATTACGAAGGAATATTGCTTCGTATTATGCTTGCGCCGTATTCACTGTAACATACGAATAACATAGGTCAAACTTCATTGTAAGACATTTAGAGTGTAGTACAAATTACGTTTGCACACAAACCTTTATAGCAAGAGATGAAAAGTCAATACGAGACTGAGAGAGTAATTAAAATCACACGGTAAGAGCGGTTCCTCGTTTCGCAAGGAACTCCTTAGAAATCGCCCACCGTAAGCCGGGGTAATATGAGACCATTTCGGGCTACTATGAGACGGAGTTTGGTTATCGTAATATTCACTCTGAGCCCGTGGTTAGGCCACAAAGAGGGCCACCACTATAACAATGCTCTTGATGATACCATTTTTCGGCGTGAAGTTTGACAGGGATGAGTCATCAATGCCACGAGCATTATATTTCTTACGGTGAAAATCATGCGTCTCATATTACGCTTTTTTTAAGGGGTAGGGGTCATTATGAAAAGATCCAATGTCAAAGGGTTTTGCGATCTCTCCCCGTTCGGCTGTAATAACATAGCGAAGTTTCCACTTTGGTCAGAATCGTGATATTTTCTTTATTTTTCTCCGTACTTACTGAAAGGTTTCAGATTTGTTCCGAGAGTGGTTCTTTACGTAAAAAGAGCTGGGGAACACGATGGAAATAGTTTCGAGACGATTGGGTGAAGTTTTGATGTCGGTTTCTCCAAGGGTTTCTCCATTTAACGTAATTTCTTTCCGAAAATTCCATGTTTCCAAAATAGCTCATCTTTGATTTCGATGTGACATTCCTCACATGATCCTCTCACATATTGTAAGAAAATCCTAAAAGGATTTGGTCGGCCCACCGTAAGTTTTTTATTTGCACTAGAAAAGATGTATCATTTTGTACATCATTGGATTCGTCTCGACAAGACAAAATTTAATTTCTCACGGGACATAAGCTTTAAATTATGCTGCCGTTTCAGAGGGGAACAGATTTTTTCGCCTTTGCAATTTGCAAAGCCATGTGAACCGCCAATAGATGGAGTGTTGAAGGACTCTAGCAGCTCCAGCAGCAGCTCAGGGAGTTGGCCCAGCTCTCTGCGCGCTGTGCAAGCGGCATGCCGCGCAATGCTTACCGCGACGCAGAGCGCGACGACCAACACGAGGAACACGCAGTGCTTCGAGGCCATGGCGTCGTATGTGTCACGCCGCCCGTCCACTGCCAATTTAAGGACTGCAAGTCGTGCCTCGGCGTCACGCAGTCCGCTTGAAAGTCGTTAAAAACCCATACCTTGGATACCTTAGATGGTTGTTTACTCCCTAGACGCCAAATTACATCATCGGCCTGTGAAATGTGAAAGCAAGTACGTCTGAAGTAGCAGGCAATAGTTCGATGGGTCCTATGAACAAAGACCGATCTCCATACCCTAACATCTCAACGCGTAGAAGCGGCGAATGCAGAAACGGCCGAAATGGATAGATCGTTCTTTGTTCGAGCGACCCAAAAGACATCGGCCTTTGTTCATACGACCCATCGAGTTAATCCCGTTTTCGTAGAGCAGTTCTATATTTTTTAGCTGCCCTAAGTTGCTGGCTGAGCCGTAGCGAAGCCGGTTACTCGGGTGAGGTTGAAACGTGTGTCACTCTCTGTGGACAATCTCATACCTGTAAAGGACTTTTGTCTCTTGCTTATAACGTTTTCTCAGCAAACGTAAAATTACTATTTTCTCTTTAACTATGCACAATTTTGATCTTTTTAGAGATAAAATAGTCAATAGATCATGCAGAAATTGAAAAGTACATCGCAAGACAAAAAGTCAGGTTTAATGGATACGTACAGTATACTATGAAGAAAATAGTGCATAGCTAATAAGAAAATAGTTCATATTACGTTTGCACAAAATACTTTCTGACAAAAGATGAAAGACCGTGAGAGACTAAGAGTGTCACTGTGAAAAAAAGATTCTAAAATTTCAGTACAATTCGTTCAGACTTTGCAGTCTGAATCGGTTATTCAGACAGTTGCTTGAATTTTCAGACAAGGAAGTCTGAAATTTGAGATCACACCAGGTAGTCGAATTTTTGAAAGAAGGTCTGAAAATTCTGATTACGCTTTCAGACTTGTCGTCCTGATACATGTTTTCATAATTTTGACAGATTGTCCACCTATCAAGTCTAGGCGTGAGGCATTGTATAAATTTATTGGATATAATATGAATACCCGTTAAATCTGTTACACTACTTTCGCATAACTAAGCACTCTTCATGTACTTCTGCGTAACTATGCACTTCCTCTGCGAAATTATGCACGCACAGATATGGACGCAAGGTGTGAATAATATTATGCATGACTGTTCTTTTCATGATGAAATCTCTTGTTTGTTCGATTGTGCACTTCAGACATTTGCTTCAAGAAACTGGCCGTGACCGTCAGTTTTGCCCGATCCTTTGGCATGACACTGTGTGACGTCGCAGATTTGTCGTGTACCTGTTGATCAAGTGACTCGACTCCCAATGTTGTCAACAACAAACATCTGAGGAAGGCCGGAGTCAGTGATTGGCTTACGAAGCTACAAACACAATAGTACGATATCCATCCCTCCAACCATTCATGTAAGTGGGTCATTCTACAGAAATGTTACAATTTCGCAGTTAGAACCGTGAAAAAAATAAAAGTTGTCCGATTTCATTCATATTGGGCTTGTTTTTCTTGTTTCGGCATGCAGAATGCGAAACGATATCAAGCGTCACACTTTTCGAGAAAAAAAATTTTCTCCACTGAAATCATAGGCGAAATGTCTACGGAGTTTACATAAATTGACGCCTACGGAGTTTACATTTTGAAGCAAATACCTGGATTGCAGCCGTATGAGTTGGAACAGTAGAACGCGCATACACAGCTGACTAAAGGACCACCAAAGCATTGTTTTTATCCACAATTCGAAAGTTTGACGCACAGGGGATCCGTGGCAAATCGGGTACGGAGTTTACATACAAAAAAAATACGCGACCCCCTTTTTGAAATTTGGGTACCAATTAGATGCTAGCCATTGGACTCACATCCTTCAAACTTGGTGGCTAGATGTGTTTTTTCATCCGGAATCCATTGCAGTCTTCAGATTGAGGCTGCGACGTCCCGTTTGTCTCCTGTAGTGCCAAACTCGTTACACTGCACATGTGGATTTTAGGGAAGTAAAAACTTCGGGACAAAAGTTAATCCTGTGCAGGCACAAAGCTTCAAACTTTTTACTAAAGTCAGTGGGATTAAGTTAAAGTATAAAAGTGCCTTAGCAAATAGAGCCGTCGGGAATTATTGTCCTGCGTCTCGTTTAGACATACGAGAGGCGCAAACTTAGTGAACTACGCATCGGGACAGCCACGGAGTTTACATTTTGCACCTTCCGGAGGCCACAGCCATCTGAAAACCTCAGAAACTTTCAAACCCAATAGTGGATCATTTTGAAGCACAAAAAGCACCATCTCACCGCGCAAACCGCGTCTTTCTAGGACGAACCGTTTCGTCACAAAGGGGCAGGGACATCAAATTGTAACATTTCTGTAGAATGACCCAAGTACATGAACTAATAAAGAGACTGCACGGCTGTGCTGCGAGACTTACGCAAGCGGATGTGAACGGAAGGCAGAGCGATCTAGCGGCTATCTACCGTTACTTCTGGAACAGATATTTGCCTCTCAATATCATTCAAAAACGAATTAATTTTCATAAAGAGTCTATAATTGATGAGAATATTTAATTTGTGTTTCCTCACATCTAATTGATGGCAGGCAATTATTGCCATATGTCGGCAAACATGCGATTCCCGCCCAAATCTTGCCGAGAAAGTTGACTTTTGTATCTCGCCACAGAATGTCGAGACATTTTTGTGTCACCAAATTATGGCCATCGGTCTCGCCATTCGATTTTCAGTGCACAGTAAAGGCACGCTTCCGCTTGGCGTAGGGGTCGTTCAAGCGACAATGTGGCCCGGCAAAGTTTCTCTAGAATTGTTCTTTTAGCGCTACTGCACTGGTAAAACTAAAGCGTAGTCTGACCCTCTGTTTTCAAGCGTAATCAGGTTAAGGGAGAGTGGGGTGATTTGTAACAGATTTCGGAATTCTTTGTAGAAATAAAGAACATTCTGCATATCGGTGCCAAACTTGTGCCAGGTGAGCAGTCTGGCCCTTCATCTAGACTGTACAGCTCCATTGGATCAATCCGGAATCTTGGAAATCAAAGACGTTTTCCAAACCCTTGCATGCTGTTACGAATCGCCCCACTATGGGGTGATTTGTAACAGCCTCGGGGCATTTTATAACATCCTACACAATGAAACAACGTCGGGAATGTTATCTCCTCCAGCAGTTGTTCTTCGGTTGTCTTGCAGACGCCTTTAAATCCATATTACAAGCTGGCGTTGACCGCCTCAGCATTAATTAACTGATCGGCTATGTCAACCCTAACCTCACTTTTTTCAATCGCAGAGTATAGATTAGAATAACTCGCTTTAAAAAGCGTTTTGTGCTGTCTAAATGTATTGAAATAAGGCAACAGATGATTTGAGAAATAGTTCAAGCACTTAATTACATAAACTACGTTAATTCTTTTTCTTATGAGTCTGTCACGAATTACCCCAAATGCGTGTTACGCTAAAAGTACGTCCCCAACCATCACTGGACAAAGTTAGGGCAACGTATGCAGCGTGGTTACATTATAAAGGGGTCACGTCTCAAGGCCCCAACGTTACTTTGATGGTGATTCATACCTGGGGAGCCTCAGACAGAAACTTCCCGGAAGTCAAAATCTAAGATTTGCCTGTTTTCGGTGTACTCTATATTTCAGACTCCCTCCAAAACTATACCTGAGCACCGATCACATCCGCTTCAATTGTTGAAGGACCCTCTACTTATAGCGAATGAGGGGCTATACTAAGATTTTCTTCTGCACCCTCCACTCACATTAATAAACGGATTTGTTACGAATTGCCCCACTCTCAATTGACTTCAAAAATAGTAATTAACTAATGACAATTGAGTCTTCATAGTGAACAATATTGTACATGGTTACAAAGGACATACTACATATTATGGCTGTTTAAGAAAACTACGTAAGCAAAGGACAAAAAGTCAATGATAGGGAGGAAAAAGTCAATACGAGTCCGAGAGTGTATTCGGGCTCCTTTTATGCACCATTTTCTGAAAATACTGTGGGGTTTACAAAACCTGAATGTACCGCTGCTTTCGGCCGCTACGTGCTCCAAAACCTGTTGATTTGACGTTGAGCGTTGAATGGCCCGGTTAGGTTCGACGTGTGGCGAGGTTGGCAGTGTCTCGCTCGCAACAAGACCCCTGGCGACGGGCGAGCACGACCCACGGCTCTGCTATCGGGATTCCTGGAAGGCTGTAACAGACACCTGTCAGCCGCACCTGTCCGCAACGGCGGGTTTAGAGGGGGAAGTACTTTACCGGGTACCAGTGCATATTATATAAGAGCTGTTTGAACCTCCGAACAACTACTCGCGAGGTCTTAGCGCAATGTTCAAGCTCTTCTTCGTATTCGCATTGGTGGTGGTGTTGGGCTTGGCCCTGGCTCAGGTAGGTGTTGCGACCGATTAGAATATCTTGATGCAAACCGGTTGACCACTCGGTATGAAGACTAGAAAGTACGAAGCGAAACGAGGGCATTTCAGAATTACTGAAGAAATATTTCACCCACGGTAAAAACGGCACGGTAGAGACATACAGGGTGAGTTTTCTCAATGTGTCAATAATTTGTAGGTAGTTTGGGCACCCCAAGGGGATCATTTTCTACCAATGAACTAATGGGCGCAAACGTCTAGGTACGGAGATAATTGGTGTTTTGTAATTGGCCTTCGCGCCTGCGAGGTAGGCACCCGCTGCCACTGATGGGCGCAGGACCTCACGTGGGGGTGTCGCGAGTCTAGGAGGGGTGCTTCGAGTCTCGAAGGGGTGCGGCGGACCTTGCAAATGTCTTTTGGGAGGGGTTGCCGCGGGTCTCAAGGGGCTGCCATGGTGGCCCCCGTTACAGTGGATCTCACGCCTGTCTTTGAGAGGGTGGCGGGATTCCACGGATACTTCCGCGAGCTAAGTGGCACTCCCGCGAGTACTGCTAGTCCCGCGACACCCCCTCGACAGGTCCTGCCACCCTCAGTGGCACCGGGTGCCTACCTTGTAGGCGCAAAATCCAAATTCAAAACACCAATTATCTCCGTATCTAGACGTTTGCGCCCACTAGTTCATTGGTGAAAAATGGTCCCCTAGAGATGCCTAAACTGCCTGCAAATTATTGACACAGTGAGAAAACTCACCCTGTAGACTATTTCCTGGGAGTTACACGGTAAAAACGCTTCCTGGGAATCCCAGGAATCTCCTGGAAACTCCTATACCTTATAACATAGGGCTCCTGGGAATCCCAGGTTTCGTTTTTACCGTGTACTGGGAAAACCAGGTTCCTTTTTTACCGACACCTGACTAAACACATTTGCCGATGGGTTTAGTCCCTTAGGTTGAGATCCGATGATGATGAGGATGTGACCAGTTGAGACGCGGTTATTTGTGTTCGTTCCACGGCCGCCTGTAACGTGGTCAAGTGTGTAGTGCGAACAGTATATACTGTTAGTAAGGAGCTCCGAAATTTTATGGAGAAAAAACTATAATCACGTTCATGGAGACTCCGTTGTTTCCATCTTTTACCGGAGAGATTTTCTCAGGGCAGTAAATGTTCTTCGGAGCATTACTTGGGTCCTAATGGGAGGTACAAGGTAGGTGTACGCCGGACCGTGTCTTGCCGTAACAGGCTTCGCGATGCTGCGCCTGTTTCGACCATCCACGCCTGGCGTATTCACATACCTTGGCCTGCGGCGCTAACCTGCCTCGGCCGGCAGGCTGCTTTCCTAGGCAGACCGTAGAGATGGGCGTGATCCCCTCAAAAATAGCATTTGGTCATCAAAATCTACACCAATCGGATTCAACTTTCGGTCGGGGGTCCGAACGGGTTCTATTTTCGTCATCAGCAGCCTCAAAAACATATGAAACGATATGAAACTTGACACAAAGTTGAAAGAGCCTACAAAGTTGTCTTTTTTCTGCCGTTTTTTAAGTGTTTTTTGGCTAATATGACCGAATGGATTGAGATAGAAAGCTGAATTTTGGTGTGTGGCGAGCCAAGGACATACCTAATGACCCTGCAAAATCTCAGCCAGATAGGCCGAGCCGTTTACGAGGAGTAGTGCACGCACACACACACACACGCAGACAGACAGACAAAACTTTTCAACCCCACTGGAGTAACGGGCTTCGCTATCGCTCAGCCAAAAATATTTTTTCAGATATATTAAAGAGAGCTAAGCCGAAGCATTCTGAAGTCAGAAATGGCTAAAGAAGGGACAATCTCCTTTGAGCTCGTTTGACTTATATCCTGAAAGTATCCCTTAATATTATGAAAACTGGGCTAAAAACGAACTAAAGTGAAAAGTAGATGAAACAAACAAGCTTGAAGTGCGCACGAGAGAACCTGTCCGACGCTGTTCTGCTCTTTTCGTAGGCTGCTCCTCGCGAGAGGCGCATGCTCCAGGATGACATCAACAACGCCGTCGGAGCTGGCGTCAATGCCGCACAGAAGAAGCTCAACGACTACCTGAACGCAGCACAGCATCGCGGTTGAGCCGATTCTGATAATAAAGGTGGCGGCTTTGTCCTGCCAGAGTGTGTACTTCGCGTATCCATTGCACCAACGGGACCAAATCGAGGGGGTGTTAATTCACAATTCGCATGTCATTTCGATTTTTAAACACAGTTTTTGAAAGCTGAATTTTGGTGTAAGGCGAGCCAAGGTCATACCCAATGACCCAACAAAATCTCAGCCTCAGCCAAATCGGCTGAGCCATGCAGAAGTAGTAGTCCGGACAGACAGACACGCCGACAGACAAAACTTTTCAACCCTACCTGAGTAACGGGCTTGCTTTCGCTGAGCCAATAAGATGGACAACGTGACCTAATCTAACCTAGATGTAAGGCCTTTGTAGGTGGATGGATATTGCCCCTCCCATCATAATAGGGCACGACCTTGGCCATCCTATTAACATTCTGGCGAAAAAGATAATGCTATACAGGCGAAAGCAAGGCGAAGCCAACTTTCACTAATAGGGTGCCGCGAAAAACACTTTTTTCTGAAATTGATATCGGCTCGGGTGGCAAAGTGTTCTCTCAGGGGCCAATATGAACGGTTTTAAATATGACCCCGATCGGATAATATCTTCAGCCCCCACAACGGCCTTGAAAATCGGAAAAATGGTTAAAAACGCCTTGTGGGTAGGCAATTTGTTTGCACGCTTCCGGCCACTTCCAGGCATGTCCTTAGGCGCAAAAAGTCGAAAGGGGACCCCCTTAGCCTAAAATAAATTTGTAGACAACCTCACTCAATGATTAATACCAGTTTCTGTAAAGTTAACGCATGATATTTAACAATTCTGTCATGATTTGCCTGCAAATTCCCACGTATGTCAATTTCGCCAATTTCGGCCGTCTTTTTCTCCAATCTGACTTGCTTCCTGAGATCAGAAGGGTCGATTTAAGGGGGGTTCATTTTGGGTCAAAAATCGCTAGGACGCTCCGTTTGGCGGGAAAATTGGGTCAAATTATTCAATTTTTCTGCAATTTCGCTTATTTTGACCCAATTTTCCCGCCAAACGGAGCGTCCTAGCGATTTTTGACCCAAAATGAACCCCCCTTAAATCGACCCTTCTGACCTCAGGAAGCAAGTCAGATCGGAGAAAAAGACGGCCGAAATTGGCGAAACTGACATACGTGGGAATTTGCAGGCAAATCATGACAGAATTGTTAAATATCATGCGTTAACTTTGCAGAAACTGGTATTAATCATTAAGTGAGGTTGTCCACAAATTTATTTTAGGCTAAGGGGGGACCCCCTATTTGCGCCTAAGGACATGCCCGAAAGTGGCCGGAAGCGTGCAAACAAATTGCCTACCCACAAGGCGTTTTTAACCATTTTTCCGATTTTCAAGGCCGTTGTGGGGGCTGAAGGAAGATATTATCCGATCGGGGTGATATTTAAAACCGTTCATATTGGCCCCTGAGAGAACACTTTGCCACCCGAGCCGATATCAATTTCAGAAAAAAGTGTTTTTCGCGGCACCCTATTCACTAAGTTCTGACGACATGAGGTTCAGATCGTCTCCACCCCCTTGAGTCTACAAAAGTGATTCGCATCAGCCCCCATTAAGGGCCCGCTAAGGGGGCGTTCAAATATGACGTCACACTTTTTTGGGGGGGAGGGGTAAGCCAAAATATGACCAAATGTGACCGTGGGGAGGGGGGGGGGCAAAGGGCACGTGACATCACATTCCGTCGTTACTGCTTGAGGTGATAATAATGCTAAATTTGAAAGGCGCGCGCAATCCCCGGCGTTCTCAGCGCATGCGCTTGGCGCGATCTAGCGGCAGAACGCGGTACTACGCGCAGGCTCTGCGAGGTTGCCGCACGCGTCGCAACACGCCCACCATCTGAGTGACAGTGACAACTTTTTAACCTTCGTAAACACGCGGTGTTGTGGGCGCATCAACATGCCAGTGGACAAAGACAAACTGTTCCAGAGCCTTTTTGGTGTTTTCAAGAAAAGCCATTGTGGAAAGCCTGCTGGCAAAGTGCAGGCGTTGTGTGTTGCCGAATGGAAACAGATACGCCAAAAGTGCAAGCAAGATGACAGTCTCTTTGAGGCCGAAGTGAAGGCAGTGATGGCTCGCGAACAAGCGACAATAAGAAAGGGCAACATACTGAATTACTTGTCCAAGGTAAGGATTTTTTATTGGCGGAGTATCTTGCGAATTGACGCGGGGATTTGAGGTTATGTTGCCCTGCGTTCACGCCGTATAGTTCTTTCCAGGGGGTGGAAACGAGGCCGATTTCGGGGGTCCGCGCTGCGGCGATGCGTGCACGGCGCATACACTGGAGGGGGGATGTTTACATTCGGGAAGCGGCGGTGGCGTAAGACATTTTTCGCTTGGAATTGAAAACTACTGAACTCATCAGAATCAAAGAAACATGCATGGAAAGAAGAAAGATCGCCAAACACGACGGTGTGCTTGGTTTTGCGGTGGGATTATTTCTTCTGGTGGAAAAATAATGTTAAAGTTAATATTAGTTGCACCGCGTAGCAGAACTCAATTTTCAGTCCTCAATATCGGACACTTGGAGGCGGAATAGACCCATACATAAAGCGAGCCGATTTTAGGTTATGGTTTCCTCTTTCCATTGATGTCAATACATTTGAGGATTTCTCAGAAATACGCAATCCCCAGCCCAAAACCTAAAAAGTGAGCGCCGCGTCATTTCGGCGGCCATGACACTTGCAACTCGAGACGAGTGCCACCAGTTTGAAATTCAACTCATCGCGGTTCACACATTGTGCACTCCACTTACCACCAAAGGCACCCTACCGAAACAGAATTTCATGTAAAATCGATACGTGCCCGCCAAATCTTTCCAAAATTTCTAACAATGACGTCGCACTCACTTTTCTCGCCGAAGGGAACGCTGGTGGATGGATGTTGCCTTGCCGCCTCGCCAGCTGGGAAACCAGCCTGTACACAAACTAAGGATCCAATCGACAAAAACTGCACACGCACTGAAAGAGTAATGATGTACGGTCAGCAAATAAGAGTATGCGACCAATCCGAAAGACACAGAAAGATATTTCATTGATTTTGTGATAAGGCTGGGCCGCGAACTTGGTTCGGCGCCCTTCGGTGCGAACCGAGCCGAGCCGTGACGAGCCGAGCCGAACCGAACCCGAGCGTCGCCGAAGGCGCTCGGGTCTCCGTCATATTCACATTGCCGCGGCGGCGCTGTGACGGCGAAAAGTAAACAAACTAGCCAGCACATGTAATGCTGAGCATTGCTCGTTAAATTTTTGAGACGAGGCTCTCCTACTTTGTTGTCATTAGTATTTCATTGAAGTGTTGAGATGGATGAAATCTCAGTACAGGTTAAGTGCAAGTTTCTTTGGCGTACTATCGTATTTGCTGTGGTGTTTCTGTCTTGTGCAACTTGTGGTGTCGTGTTACAGGAGTCAGCCGATGCTGATGAAAACAATGATGTTTTGAATGAAAAAGTTTTGGATGAAACTATGGAAGTAGAAAACGAAGTTCTAAACGAAGTCAAACTGAAAGCCCTGCCAAAAAAGAGAAAGACGCCTGGCAGACGGAAGAAAGTTTCAAATAAGAGAAAAGCATCAAGAAGAGCACCTGTTGGTTGTGGTGACGTTACTGTTGATGCAGTTGAAGACACAGTTGATGCCAGTGATACTTTTGACACATTTGAAGAAAGTGATGATACACTTCCTTCATATGAATCAGCTGTACGTCTCTCTCTCTCTCTTTCTCTCTCTCTCTTGCACATTTTTAGGTATCATTGTCAGTGCACAAACTAATTATGTTTCTCTCTTGTCTTTGTTAAGGATGATTCCTGTGACCGTAGTGACACTGTCAGCAGTGTGCAAAGCTGGAGCACACTGACAGCCTCATTATCTAGTGTTGTGGAATATCAGAATGGTTGTTCTGAAGAAGAATCATTGACGGTGTCTTCTGAATCTAGTGTGATGTCATCCAGTGAATTAGAAACCAAAACAGAAAGTGAAGACGAGGAAAACAACTCAGGAGGAATAATAGTAAGACATATTATTTTCAATCTTTGCCTGTGAGCATGTTAGTTTCTATAATTCGAACCTGCTCTCTGTCCTAAGGTGGGCCAGAAGCTGCACCATCCCTTTTTTAAAAACAGAAAAAAGAGGAGGCGGGAAAGGGCTGAGACCCGGAGAAGAAAGATTTTTAAACGAGCCAAAGTGCAAGAGGGTGTTCGAGTGAGTTTTGGATTCTTGCTAGCTCCTCTGTCTGAACTTAAATTTATGAGTCCTGTTCATTTAATTCATTCTTTCCTAACAGTTAGTAAAGGCTCCAAAAATGAAACCCAGAGGCAAGAAAACTCATGGATGTTTGAGGGAGTACGTCTCAAATTTCTTCGAACACCAGGTGAGAGTGAGAGGTGGTTTGAATGCAAGTAGAAAACCTGTGTTCCAAATTATTTTATTTTGTGAAAAGGAAATTCTATCAAATGGCATATTATTATTTTTTAAAATAAGTATATGCTTGCAATAATTTGGTTTATTTCTTTGTTTCAGAATAGAAGTTATTCTTTCCCAGAAGATTCAGACGAATCCTTTCCAATGTCCATGCCTTCTCATGAGGGAGCGCACTTTCTTGTCACGGATCATGATGCAGATCCAACCATGATTCCTCCATTTGATGAAGTAAAGGTATATAAGCTAACTTCAATTTCATCTTTATTCTAAATTTGACATAAAGAAACAATGTTGTGATTTTCTTCCCTTTCTATTTCTTAGGAAAGCCCAGAAAGCATAATTGTGAAACAGGAAATCCTTGAGGCTCTCAAATTAGACAAACTCTGGAATACTGACATACAAGAAGGAATTAAAATAATGAAAATGACTTTGGACATGAAAGTTGAAAGAGCTATTGTGTACAACAACCACACAAAGTCAATTGAAGTGCTGATTCATGATCAACCACTGCCAAATGATCACCCGCTTTGGCAGTTGGCTGTGATTGATGATGTAAACTCACCGAGCAGCATCGCAGCTTGCCTAAGTAAATTGGCTCACCATATTATTAATTGGGAGATATGCCATGGATGCCCCAATCAAGAATATGCATATCTATGGAAAGATGGAGTCAAAGGAAAAATTGATCGAGTATCAGATTTGCCATGTTTCCGCTCCAGCAACTGTTCAATTTTACTCTTCCGTCCAGAAAGCTGCCCTCAATGCAAATATCAGACTACAGACTTCAAGAGGAAGTACAATCGGCAACATAAAACACAAGATCATAAAAAGGATAAAAGGAAGATTAACCATAGATTCATGACTACTGAAGAAATATCTGGCAAGACTAAAGCATACTACAATAGAATTAAAAGAGAGAAAGAGAGAAACCAAAGATTAAAAAATTACATTGAAGCTACAATCAATAGCATCCAGGAGCCGATAGAAAAGGAAACAAGCGATGACTTGGTAGTTTTATTGCAAGAGGTGCTACCTAAAATGTCCGATTTACAGAAATTATTTTGGGAGGAACAATTAAAAGCCATCAAGATGCAGGACAATCCTCGCGCTATTCACTGGCATCCCATGATGATTAAAATGGCGTTGGCCCTACAAGCCAATGGGCCACGCTATTTTGTAGACATTGGCTGTATTAGTCTCCCTTCCAAAAGGAGACTGTACGACTACAGTCACTTTGTAGATGCAGAGGAAGGCTGCCAGCCCGAAATTATACTGAATATCAAGAAAAAAATTGAAAATTTGAATTTGACCAATGAACATTACGTAAATTTGCTTTTTGATGAAATTAACATTCGGGGGAATGTGGTTTATAATAAAAAAGGTGAGTTGGTTGGTTTTGTCAAAATGACAGAGGTTGAAGCAGAGCTGGCTAAAATGGAAAAATCACTTGTCAACATGGACTTTGAACCCCCACTGGCAAAAAAAGTTCTCGCATTTATGGTCACAGAAGCTGGCACCATTCAATCAAACATCCGTGAAATAGTGGCCTTGTATTCTACTGGAGATTTGACAGCCGCTCAGCTATATGTAAGAGGATGGGAAGTCATGCATGTTTTAGAAGAAGCAGATATCAAAGTGTTAACAATGATTTTTGATGGTGCCTCTGTTAATAGGCGCTTTGTTCACATGCATACTTGCTCTGACAGTATTTCAGATGTAGTGTATGTAACAAAGAATTTAGCTGCTGATAGTGAGCGTCCACTATTCTTCATCCTGGACCCACCACACTTTATAAAAACAGTCCGGAACTGTTATTCAAACTCATACGCTCACAAGGGGACAAGAAAGTTATGGAATGCTGGACAAGACATCAAGTGGCCTATTCTTCAAAAGCTGTATGAAGTTACTTCAGCAAACCAGTATTTAAGCCACAAGTTGACAGCCAGTCATTTGAAACTAACTGCATTTAGCAAAATGAATGTTAGATTGGCTGTCCAAGCAATGAGTGGATCTGTTGAGGAATGTCTTTTGAAACTGAAAGATGATCCCAGATTCAAAGACTTTGGTGTCGAGGAGACTGCTAAGTTCATTGGCACAATGAACAAGTTTTGGGACTGTGTCAACTCCAGACAAAGAAAATCAACAGACATTAATGTGAAAGATAATAAGGAGCCCTTTTTATCCAAAGAAGACCCAAGACTAGCTTTCCTGACAGGAGATTTTCTTCAGTATTTCAAAGATTGGGATGAAAGTGTAGAAAACAGAAAAGGAAAGTTTTCAAAGGAAGAAAGAAACAAAATGAAAATTGGGCATCAAACAATGGAAGCCATGAAAATTTCTTGCAAGAGCATTAAAGCATGTACTGAATTTTTATTGGACAGGGGTGCACCATTTGTTGAAACTAGATCTTTCAATCAAGACCCTATTGAACAATATTTTAGCACAATGAGAAGAATGCAAGGTTCTGATGACAACTTGGATTTGAATCAAGCGCTCAATACCCGCCTAAATATAGCTGCCCAACAAGGAGCTGCACTTCCTCGACTCAAGGGCAACACTGAAGTTTTAAATCGAACTGTTACTATTGAAAATGAGCCTCTACCAACAAGAAAACGCAAGGCTGTTCCATCCACATCATCAGCCACAGAGTAGAGGATTGCGGCAAATCTTAGCTATTCTTAAGGAAATTCTATTAATTTAAAGTTGTTTCTTTTTAAGTCCATTAGCAGGGTTAACTTGTTATTTTTTACCTCTTAGTTTATATATTTATCATTCTTTTTTTTTTTGTTTTTATTTCTTTTAGAGTCATTGTTGATTTCTTTTTATGTCAAATTCTGCAAGTGTCATGCCTAAAGTTTGCATTTCTTTGAGGTGAGAGAAATTCCTGTTGGATCTCCAGACTAAAAATGTAAATGTTAAAAGATATTCAAGCACATTGATCTCTTTTCATCCTTTGGGCACTTCATCAAATTAAATAAAAAACATATTTGAATTGTCATGAAATTTGAGACATTTTATTCACAAACCTTCCAATATTATGTCCCCAGAATATTGATATTACAATAAGATGCTAATACAACAATGCAACACTGAAGAAACATTCAAAGTTAAATATAGGTGATCACTTGCAATAATATGTCAGAAAGCACAGCCAGTAATGACATAAAGGTACAACCCAAGAATAGTGACACTGACAAGTTAAAGAAAATTTTCAAAACAAACATGTATGTACAGAGAAATTCAAACATCATGTTTTAAACCTTTCCTCAAAGATACCTTCTTTAACTGCTTAGTGTTGTCGTATTTTCTTTTGATACTCTCAACATAAGTTTTATTTGAACTTTTCAGTAGCTGAGAAAGAACAGAGTGCATGAATCCAAAAGCACTCTTTTCAGACAGATACTTAGCAGTTAAATGAAACCATAAATTCATTGTTTCCTGACTCTCCTCTTTCAGAAACAAGTCAATCAGTCTATCAGTGGAAACAATTGCATTCACTTCGGTTCTCAAACTCCTGATCATAACCTCAGCACAAGTAAAGAATTTAAGAGCCATTGGGCTAATTTTTATATCACACTCAGTTCCTTTCCACATTTTTTCACTCACAAACTCCGATGCAGACAGTTCAGCATTGGACACAGAAAATGCGAATTTTTCACGCAGGCACAAAAGCCTTGACTTCATACTGTGCTCTTTAAACCTCATTGAGCCACTTGCATAGTAAACTCGAAGCAGGTGACCAACCTGTTCTTCAAAACTTTGTAGTTCATCACCCTGGAGAGGTTTGATTCTTGTTTCACTTCTTTCTTGAGCCTGTTGTCTTCTATGAAGTAGTTCGAGTTGATACTTGTCAAACACTTTGTAACAAATCTTGCTCAAAACCATGTCTATAAGTGAATCACTAATCTCATTGTCTGGATCAAAGCATTGGCGTAAACTGTTCCGCAAAGTCTGCAATTGATCCCCTTTTCCGTTCAAAATAGCATTGATTCGTTGCAATGCTTCTTCATACTTCAAGGCACTAAAAACACGCTGAGAATTTTTCACAACAGAACAAACCACATCAAAGAGAGATTTCACAAAAAAGGAGCCAGCTTCTGAGTGGATTTTATCCAACAACTGGCCAGACAAATTCTTTCTTCGTTCACCAACAGCTCCCAGGACAGGTTCCTTTGTTATGGCTTCCAAGGTTTGCACAACCATAGTAACCTTGAGGTCATCATCCAGTGGAGATGGGTTCTGCACAGCCACTTCTGTGAAAACGAATGAAAGCAATAGTCAGTAAAGATCTGTAATTACAAAGGCCCCTGAAAGAATGAAATACATGGCGATAATAACCTTCTTTGTGCTTGGCAGCAACATGCCATTTCAGGCCCCATGGAGTGGCACATTGTTTCTCACATCTTTCACATTGAAATATAGGCTTCACCTGCTCCTTGGGCTTGGGCGCGGGCATTTCTTCATTATCATCACTGTCAATGTCAGTCAGTGATTTTGGAGAATCCACACTGGCATCACTCTCAAACTCGGACTCGGAATTGTCCGTCATTTCAACACTACTCTCCTGCTCTGCTGCACATAAAATTAGAACACGATAAGTAAAGTTACATACGATGATTGCACAGGTGAGAAGGTTTGGGCAAACTTACAGTGAAATGTAGAAAGAAAGATAAGTTCTGATTTGAGCGAGCAAAACAGCTACAAGTCTGTTTATGTTTACTTTCCGTCGTCGCAGCGCCGCCGCGGCAATGTGAATATGACGGAGACCCGAGCGCCTTCGGCGACGCTCGGGTCCGGTTCGGCTCGGCTCGTCACGGCTCGGCTCGGTTCGCACCGAAGGGCGCCGAACCAAGTTCGCGGCCCAGCCTTATCACAAAATCAATGAAATATCTTTCTGTGTCCTTCGGATTGGTCGCATACTCTTATTTGCTGACCGTACATCATTACTCTTTCAGTGCGTGTGCAGTTTTTGTCGATTGGATCCTTAGTTTGTGTACAGGCTGGTTTCCCAGCTGGCGAGGCGGCAAGGCAACATCCATCCACCAGCGTTCCCTTCGGCGAGAAAAGTGAGTGCGACGTCATTGTTAGAAATTTTGGAAAGATTTGGCGGGCACGTATCGATTTTACATGAAATTCTGTTTCGGTAGGGTGCCTTTGGTGGTAAGTGGAGTGCACAATGTGTGAACCGCGATGAGTTGAATTTCAAACTGGTGGCACTCGTCTCGAGTTGCAAGTGTCATGGCCGCCGAAATGACGCGGCGCTCACTTTTTAGGTTTTGGGCTGGGGATTGCGTATTTCTGAGAAATCCTCAAATGTATTGACATCAATGGAAAGAGGAAACCATAACCTAAAATCGGCTCGCTTTATGTATGGGTCTATTCCGCCTCCAAGTGTCCGATATTGAGGACTGAAAATTGAGTTCTGCTACGCGGTGCAACTAATATTAACTTTAACATTATTTTTCCACCAGAAGAAATAATCCCACCGCAAAACCAAGCACACCGTCGTGTTTGGCGATCTTTCTTCTTTCCATGCATGTTTCTTTGATTCTGATGAGTTCAGTGGTTTTCAATTCCAAGCGAAAAATGTCATACGCCACCGCCGCTTCCCGAATGTAAACATCCCCCCTCCAGTGTATGCGCCGTGCACGCATCGCCGCAGCGCGGACCCCCGAAATCGGCCTCGTTTCCACCCCCTGCCGTCACCGACAACATCCTCAAACGATAAAATAGGCCTAAATTCAACAAAATCCACTCAATCTTGCAGCGGTGCGGGATTGGTGCGGGACACTCTCATAAAAAGTCACTGGCCGGCCGGCCGATCCAAATGGCCACGTTCGAAACGACATCAATTCAATTGTTGCATCTTCTCTAGCTGCAGTCAAAGAGATTTCTCATTTCAAACGTGCTTTTTCAGCTTTTGAAGCAGGGATCCTTAATTTAACTTAACATTTAACTAACACTACTCTCATAACGTAACCTAAGACAATGTTCGCGAAAGGTTAAGGGTACGGACTTATGAAAGTACTTGCAAAAGTATATCCACACAAATTCGAGCTATAAAAAAATAACCTACCCTTTTAAAAAGATGTTAGAAGTTAAGGGTAATAACTTTAACTCTTATGATAACGTTATGATGCCCTTATGAGGTAAGTTAAGGATCCCTGTTTTGAAGTCAGCTGTACAGAACCAAAAAGAAGCTCGGCTATTGGTCCACCCCGACTCCGGCTCCCCCCACTCCCTTTTTTTTCCCTTGACGAGTCGAGTTTTGTCATGGGAACGGCGATTTTGACAGCAAATTTCTCAAAATTGGCCGTTAACTTTTTAACCAGATTTCAGCATCAGAATCAGCGTTCAAAGTTCTACATGTCTGCAAAATCTCATTAAAATCGTACAGAAAATTTCCGAAATGCATAAAATCGAATCTCGGGCCGGCTGAATCCTGGGTATACTATAAGGCTACTTCGTGCCTAAAAATATGGCGTAATTTGGAAGGCATGAGGGTTCATCTGGAAAAATGGGCTTCTGCGATACTGTTCAGTCCGTAAAGCATCTCAGCATGCCGCCTTCTGAAGGGCGCAAGTTGTTCACGTATTCCATTAGAGCAGCTTTTGATGCACCTAATTTTTGAATGTTAATGAGAGATAGTTTGGAATCTACCGGGCACTGGCATCAAACCATAAGCACCATTCTCTTCCAAACGTAGATCTAAATGACCCTCAAGGTGAACTGGTGTTGGTTTGATGGAAGGCTAATATTGTTGAACACCTGTTGTTTACTCTGTGTGCTCCCAAAAAAGACGTCTAGAAATGAAGCATTGCAATACTTTTTTCGGATGACTCGTATGTTTCATAAGGTACTACTAACAGTTCTACAATTTGGGACGTTCATTGCACCAAAATGGTAGTACGAAACTAAAACTTTTGATAGTAGTTTTGTTAACGGGGCAGGGACTGTAGAAATCAGGTTGACAGCCCTTTTTTCAGCCCACTTACTTACCTTTCGGCCGTGTTGGCACTGCAGCCCAGTTGAGGTCCCCATTTTTACCCTGGCTGCCATGACTTCTTGGGGCACACCTTTCCTATCCTTCCTGATCGCGCCTTCCATTGTGGTTTGTCGCTGGAGGAGCTCCTCAGCAAGGTGCACGGTTTCATTTGCGTTTCATGTTCCTCCATGAACACACTTCAGCATCAAGTCGGCATTGGAGAGTCGCTCATTATGGCCTTAGGGCAGAAATCGCTTTGGCATTGATCAGTGGTGGATGGTTAGAGTGGGATGGTATCAAAGATTCATTACCATCTGCTTCTGCCACTGCCTTGTTGTACCAGCACAAAGATGTTTCCCCCAGTAGTGATGCTTGGGGCGATCATGCGTTGATGAATAGTGCTCCAATGGTGCTATCAAATTTGCTTGCATGACGTGGACATGAAAGGCAATGTCAACAATCGCATTCCTAAAATAAGATTGAAGGTGTTGAATCTTTGGAATTGGAGTAACCCCACCCCAAGGTGGACCGAGATCTGGGATTGGGTCACGGATTCGGTTCAAACTTTGTGGGTTGATTATCCTAACTACACATCACGTGAAAAGGGATGTTTTCTCAAAGTTCGTGACGCCAGTAAATTACTCGCCGAAGGGCTTGTTACAAACTTTCATCCTTATGTGAATACGTGG